TTCAAGCTTAATTGGCCACGGTTCAAGGTGCGGCTGTTGACCAAATGTGTAATCACTACGGCTTGACAATTTCACAAGAAAAACTTTACTTATGGAGGGGCTATACTATGAAACGACGTACTCGTCGAACTCGCTAGAGCTCAATCTCTCGCCGAGTTTAAATCTAAAATTTCTTAATAATTGTATTATATTAGTTTCTTTGCATATGTATAGTCTGTAACTCTTGTGAATATTTTGATATTTAATTGTTGGAAATTAGTTTACTGGCATGAGTACACGTCTCCATTGAAGAGCACATATTTTATTTGTGAAATGGATCTCGTGTTTTAAATAAACATGTCAATCAATCAATCAATCAATCATGTGCTACTATCTCTTTTTGCCTCTATTTTATTTTTGTTTTTCTAATTGCCTTTCCAAATTAAAAAAAAATGGGTTTGATAAAGAAATTGGCACCCACCCTTTTCCAAGGCTATGGGTGTGGTGCATACCTCAGGCACCCCCTCCTTAGTAAATCATACATCCCTGGATAGAGTCGATGTCGCAGGAATGCAGTTTCTTCTCTTATATTTTAGGCTCCACGAACGGGATTATATACATTCTATGTAGCTGGAGATGATCAATCTCGGTTGGCGCTTAGCAGTGATGATAAGCCAGAAAACCTCAAAATTCTTGTGTGGTTCCCAAAGCGTCGATGGACCAGACCAAATAAGTTCAATCAGTAAGTTTACCGTATCAATAAATTACTACCAGGGTAGCATGCAGCAAGTCCAAATGAGTGGATTCAGTCTAGCCATGTTGGCAGGGACGCCGGAACTGGGGGGGGAGGGGGGTAGGAGGGGCAGCCGCCCCCGTTGCCCTTTACCAGGAGGGGCAAGGGGGGGGGGCAAAGATGCCCTTTCAATTTAAAGGATTGCCTTGGCGAATTCTTTTACGAATTTGCTTCAGAAAACGCAAGAAATGCAGTCATCGAGCTTTAAGGATAGCACAATCGCCTGGCGGAGAAGGCCTCACACCCCTATCATCCAATCAATAGAAAACAGTTCAACTCCCGATGTTTTGCAAACATCTCTTATTATATATTGATTCAAAAGTGCCTTTTCACGAAAATCTGACCCCCTTGCCTTCACATCGTTCCGGCCTCTCTGCATGTTGGGAAGATAAGAATGCGTATTGCTAATAACAATATGTAAGATTTGACTAAGGCTCCTTGGCAGGTGTGGGGGTGTGTGGGGTCCAATCGTTGAATATGGGGTTTGGCTCTCGGGTCCCCCGGAAAATGGGTCTTTTTATAGGGTCTGGGAACGCCATTTGTGTATTTTAGACACGTTTTACAGTCGTGCCAATAGAAGTGTTCCGAAAAAATGTTGACCAGTTCATTTCCTAACTTCGAGGAGTTCCTCTGAACAATTCCTCAACAATTTGATAAGTTCCTTAAAAAGTTCCTAACTTCCTGTTTCATTGACCAATCCGATTGCTCAAAAACAAAATATAAAATTTGATTTGTCAATGAAACAGGAAGTTAGGAACTTTTTAAGGAACTTATCAAATTGTTGAGAAACCGTTCAGAGGTGTTCCTTCAAGTTAGGAAATGAACTGGTCAACATTTTTCGGAACACTTATATTGGCACGACTGTAAGATAATCTGAAAGCCACAAATTTGGTATATTTAATGCCATAGGTGCAAGCATATTACCAGCCCTCAGTTTTTTCTCCGTTTTGGAAGGATTACACAAGTGGTCCTGAGGACAAATAGGGGGGGGGGGGGATAATCCGGAACCCCCTCCCCCCATTTCCACGTGCCTACGCCCCTGACCAGTATACCAGCCAATGAAATGGTTGATCAATTATTACTCGTCCGAGATAACATTTACACAATGGAACTTTATAACAAGCTGGAGTAGATTGGAGTATTTATGCCATGATATAGTGATTTTTATACCAACAGTCGGCAGTCAAAAGAACATAATAAGCCAATGGACCATTTGCATTATAGACTAAATTTTGATCTAGACAAAAATTTCATCACAGCTTGAAAGAGCATCCCCAAATTAGTAGTATTCCAAAGTTTCGTTGCGAAATGTTGTAAAAGGCGGATAATATAGCTCTGCGAAATTTGCAATTTTCAGTCATTTTGTATTACAAACGGGAAATTGATGCCCCAATACCCGATTGGGCTGTCAATTTCCCGTTCGAAATACAAAATGACTGAAAAACGGCAAACTTTGCATGGCTATATTATCCGCATTTTACAACATTTTGCAACGAAACTTTGGAATATTACTAATTGTGTGATGCTCTTTCAAGCTGTGATGATATTTTTGTCTAGATCAAAATTTAGTCTATAAAGCAAATGGTCCATTTGGAGTTTCGACTGCGCATTCAAATGACGCATTTTACGTCGGGATAAAGTTGAACAATATCATGTAACTGAGACTCAAAGATTAGAAATTTTTGCATATCAAAATATTCAGCTGTTCAATCGTTTGTGTTTCACTTATAGCCATAACATTACTAGTTTTTTATGCTAGCATATTTTGCCTCCTGTGTAAAGCAAGATATGTTTTCTAACTTCAAGATTGAGCAACATTTTACATACAGTTGAATCCCTTTTAACACACACCTCTCTTAAGCGGACACGTCCTTAATTATGAAGCGCTCACATACCTCCGGTACCATTGTACCAATGATTTCTCTAATAAACAAGGGCGTCAATCTATCCAAAAAAGTGGGGTGCGGGGCGGACTCCAAACTAAGAAGGTCCGGAGGTATCCTACACGAACTTTTTCCCCAAATTTTGGTACACTGAAACGGCATTTCCAGCGTTTTGGAGGCACTAATAAAGTTATATTACAATGTGTATGATCTTAGATCCATGTTTAACTATGTCTGACATCCGCTAAAACCCAACATGTCCTAGCCTGTGAACAGACGTTACTCTCGACGAAGCCTATAACATGGCCTCACCCTTATTTTAATGCTAATAATCTATTAAGTTAACCATTTGCCTTATTTTGATGATAATCATCAATGTAAATCATCTATGTAAGGGAAACTCAGTTACAACGCAATTATTTCTAAGTATTTACAATTTTACATAATATATGCGATCTCAGTATTTGCTCCCAGCGACTACAGGAAGATCATACGTTGTACTACTTCTTATTAAATGTCTTCCTTTCAATCACAATTTTTGATGAACAGCATACCATGCATTGATCCATTAGGTTTTTAGATAACCAAGAAACACAATTTCATTAAACATGTCAAAAAGTTGGGGGGGGGGGGGTAATTAGATTCCCGGACGCGTCCCCCATCCCCCCAGAATTGACGCCCATGCTAATAAAGTAATATTACCATTAGCAAATTTACCAATCTGCAAACGCGGATATGGTCTGAAATATACTTCTCGTGTCTTTAAATGTCATATCCGCGTTCTGAAATATACTTCTATCCGCGTTCTGAAATATACTTCTCGTGTCTTTAAATGTCATATACTGGCTTTGGCAACAATTACGCTTTTTGGTTACAAATTTTTGGTTACAAGTAATGCTGTGAGCGTGCAAGCGGGTGAGCATCCCACCCAAGCAGTGGTATCCAGCACCACCCTAGAAAACTGCTTCAACATACATTTCTTGCTTTTCGAAAATCGATTAGAATAGAACTTCTACTGTTAGCATGTGTCAACGGGAAAATACTCAAAATGTTTATTTAAATATCATGGTTATTTAACAAACGTGTCGAGGTTGTTATGCAGCCATATTTTCAAATATACTTCTGTTTTGTTCTGTTGGTATGGTATGGTATGGTATGGTATGGTATGGTATGGTATGGTATGGTATGGTATGGTAAAACTTTATTTAATGACGTTGGCCTCAACAGCAATTTAGCTGATTTCTACGGGGGGCGTCGGATATTAACTATTTGCAAAAAAGAAATATTTACATTGTAAATGTTACTGGTGTGACCACAAATATCATTTAGTTAACATTACCTCTAATAGTATTCTTAAATTGGCTGACAGATTCCGCTACCTTTGCATGAAACGGGAGGCTATTCCACAATATAGCTCCACTATATTTGAAACTCTTTTTAAGGTACTCTCTTTTTGGTTTAGGAAGGGTTAAATTTGTTAGACTATTTCTGCTCTGTTCTGTTCTGTTCTGTTCTGTTCTGTTCTGTTCTGTTCTGTTCTGTTCTGTTCTGCAGCACCTGTGCAGTCACACATACATGAGAAAGTCGATATAAACTTTATCAACAAAAGATAATGTAAAACATAATAGAACGGCGAACATGCAGATTCGTCCATCTCAAATAATGGTGATGGTAGCGTTCCAGACTGCAGAGGAGAGCGAACAGTAAGGCTCCCTCATGCACCACTCCATGGAAAACCTGCATCCCCCTCGCTTCAAAATACATATAAAATTGACAATAACAAAACGAATTATAAAGTAATATTATTCTAACCACATTTTATTATACTAAGAACCTCAACCCACTATTTTAACAAACTTCAAACCAAAAACCTAGTCTGTAAAGATATGATGGTCTGGTAGTCCTGCAAACTTCAAAGCTACAAAATAGAACGCTTTTGTTTGATGCTGAACTGTACTTCACCATGCACAAATCCTTATTCATCATGGCTGCACATTTCATCTCAGCTATCTCTATTGAACGATTACTTCATTACACAAAAATACAATGAGCTAACATAAACTCTCAGACAAAAACAGCTAAGGCTCGTTTTATACGTCGCATTTTGGTCGTGTCGAATGCAATTAAGACAATAGATAATAAGATGATAAACCTCATTAATTAAGCTTCATTATCTATTGTTCGAATTGCATTCGATGCAACCGAAATTCGACGTATAAAACAGGCCTAACGATGACTTATGTTTAGATTTCAGACCATCATACCTTGATAGACTATGACAAAAAAAACAGATAATAACAAAATGATTTTAGTTCATAAATGCATTGCATCAATCAGTCATCACCAAATATCAATATCACTTTTCACATTGAACAGTTACATTGCATTAGGGGCGGACCATTAGAAATCCCGGGGGGGGGTTGGTGAAAATTCCCCCAAAAAAATTCGTGCAAAGGAAAATGCCTGGAAAAAAATCCGTGCAGCCATTACGTCAGAGAAAAAAAAATCGTGCAAGCAAACAGCGAAGTACAAATAGTCTTGAAAAACAATTCGTGCAGAGGTTAAATGCATTAAAAAAAATTCCTGCTGAGGCACGAGACTGAAAAAAAAATTCGTGCCGCAAAAATTTTATACCCCCCCTCCCGGGATTTCTAATGGTCCGCCCCTTACTGTATCAAAATTAAGTTTTAGAACAATCTATCTCTATTTCAAAAAAACTTTCAACACAACATATTACCTATGCTGATGCGATATGTCGACATCTTTGATAAATATCAATATTTTAAAATTATTGACATTTGATATTTCATTTTTTGCATATCGAAAATATGGAACGTTTTAGTAACAGAGAACTAAATCTTTTTCATAATAAAAACAATAAGGTAAAGTTTAGAAAACACATGTACGACGCAATTGAGAGCTCAAGTTAGCAAGCGCATGGGCAATTTAAAAGTGTAAATAGATTAGGGGTGATCACAGAAGATCATCACTCCGGCCACACAAGCAGTAGTTTTTGAAAACAACTATGTGATGACTCATAAATAAATATCAGAGCTGTTCAAATCAGAAGGTCACTGTTCTGCTGCAAAGGAAAGTCTATACAATATGTCGAATCAACTAAGCCCTGTTTAGGCTAGGCTGACTAAACTATATGTTTTCTTATTTTCATACTTATTCGATACATATTTTTTCGATATCAACTTTTTTCAATATCGCACCAGCCTAATACTACCAAAAATATTTATAATTTATCTTGCCTAATGGGGCAGCACATAATCATGCATCCTCATATGATCTTCAAGTTCAGTGGCAATTTCAAACTCTGCATCACAGACACAACAGATATAACCTACACCAGTTGCTTCTCTTGCTTCTAACTCCTTACAGAGATCACATTGGTAGAACTCACCATGGTCTTTGGTCTTGTGCTGATATAAACTTTCAATATCAGGGAACTGTTTGTTGCATTTATCACAAACAAAACGATCATCACTTAGTATCTCATTGGCATGTCCTTGTCCTTGAATAATTTCTTTGCCACAGGTGTGGCACAATAATAAGCCATCTCTCAAGTGTGATCTCCAGTGACGTTTAAGACTTTGTTGTTGTGTGAATGTCTTCTTGCAGATACCACACTCAAAACTCTGGTTTCTCTTGTGTGCTGATATTTTGGGTTGTGTTAACTTGTGCGATTCTGAAAATCTCTTGTTGGAAACATTAAATTTGTAAGGTTTGTCTGTAGTATGTGTACTTTTATGTCTAGCTAAGTGGCATGAACGCAAAAACACTTTGTTGCAAACATCACATTCATAAGGTTTGTCTCCAGTGTGTGTCCTTTTATGTACAGTTAAGGCACCTGACTGTGAAAATATTTTGTGGCAAACATCACATTCATAAGGTTTGTCTCCAGTGTGTTTTCTTTTATGTACAGTTAAGGCACCTGACTGTGAAAATCCTTTGTTGCAAACATCACATTCATAAGGTTTGTCTCCAGTGTGTGTTCTTTTATGTGCAGTTAAGGCACCTGAATGCGAAAATCTTTTGTTGCAAACATCACATTCATAAGGTTTGTCTCCAGTGTGCATCCTCTTATGAACTGCTAAGTTGCCAGAATTCAAAAATCTTTTGTTACAAACATCACATTCATAAGGTTTGTATCCAGTGTGTGTTCTTTTATGTACATTTAAGACACCTGACCGTGAAAATCTTTTGTTGCAAACATCACATTCATAAGGTTTGTCTCCAGTGTGTGTTCTTTTATGTTTCACCAAATTTCCTTTCTTTGAAAATACCTTGTAACAAATCTCGCATTTCCAAGACATGATTTCAGCTTTTGAACTTTTCTCCGTGTGCTCACAAGTGTGGTCAAATTTGGATAAAAATACCACCCACGCGTTCCACCGAGTCTTTCTTTATTGAATCTTTATAATATTCGCGTCTTACAGAATTTCAGATCATAAAAATGAGAATATTCAGAGACATAGTTTACAAACGATACCAAAATGAAAATATGGCGCCCAAAAAGAATTCATATCATGTTTCCACTCTCCAAAAACAAACTTTTTATTATGGCCAGATTTCGCAACAGATGGAATAAATGCAAACATGAACGAAAAATTGAATTAACCCACACTCGTGGCAAGGGGTGGAGTGTGTTTTGAGTAGAGGAAACTAATCCATCTTTTTGGCAGCGAATTTTTTTGCGGAACCAATATTACCAATCAGTGTTTCATGAAAATCAGTTTATTTTTGACAAAAAAATTTTTCATTTTTTTTGTCAAAAATAAACTGATTTCATATTTCAAAATCGTCAAAAAATGAATGACTCCTTCGTTGGGAAGTTCGGCTACTCACTTCCCGACGAATGCTCAAAACATCGAATTTCCCTTGCCTTTTCCAGGCAGTTCCATTCCTATCAACCAAGTTTTAACTTTTGCTAATATTGGTTAACTCTCAGCAGTGGCGTAACTACTATGGGCTCAGACCGTGAGAACCCGGGGGCCCCAACCAAAATGGGGGCCCCCAGGCTTAGGCAATAGAGCAAAAACATTGGTCAGGGCCTCTGATATGTTACAATGTAGTTTTATGACCATCAGAATTCTGTAAAATCTCTCCCCAGAGTCCAGGAAATGGCATTTCAGAGAGTCTAAATTCAAGAATTTTCCGGATAAGCATGCCCTGGACCCCCTAGAAATTTCGTGCATATACGGCGCTCGACTCGTGCCTTTGGCACTTCTACTAGGGGGACCTTCGAAAATTTTGAACCGGGGGCCCCCTGATATAACGTTACGCCACTGACTCTCAGACACAGAATTATAACCACTGACCTGTTACATCCTCCTTTTCATTGTTTTTTTATAATGTTCTGAAAGTCCCAATATAAAGTGACAAAATATTAGTTTTTGTTCACGTTCCGGCGAAATTAACAAAATTACAACAAAAGGTGGGAAAATTCCCGCCAAGAACAAAATTACTCTGACGTCATCGTTGTGTCATTTGATTGGACGAAACATTTTTCCCGTGTGTGAGAAAAATGTTTCCCATCCCTGAGGCTGCTCCATTTAAGGCTAGTTTCAACTAAGGAAAATTATCTGTGGATTGGAATGGACAAGAAATTTTTTCTTTGTCTTGTGAGCTTTGGGTTGGAACCAACAAATTAACACAAAGAAAAATTTCCCTGTCCGTTCCAATCAACAGATAATTTTCCTAAGTGAAAACTAGCCTTCACTGTTCGGACTACCCCGGATTTTCGGAACATCATCAGTGCGGAACACTAATTAGAGGTTATTAAATCAAACCAATTGGTCACATGTTGAACAGTTATACTATATTTTAATTACAAGTTTAAAAACAATTCCAAAACAAGTTAATCAATTTCAAACAATTGCAAATTAATTTCAAGAAAAAATTCAACACAACATATCACCCAAAATGTTTTCAATTTATCTTGCCTAGTGGGGCAGCACATTATCATGCATACTCATATGATCTTCAAGTTCAGTGGCAATTTCAAACTCAGCATCACAGACACAACAGATATAACCAATACCAGTTGCTTCTATTGCTTCTAATTCCTTACAGACATCACATTGGTAGGATGCACCATGGTCTTTGGCCTTGTGCTGATACAAACTTTCAATATCTGGGAACTTTTTGTTGCATTTATCACAAACAAAATGATCATCACTTGGTATCTCATTAGCATCTCCTTGTCCTTCAATAATTTCTTTGCCACAGGTGTGGCACAATAATAAGCCATCTCTCAAGTGTGATCTCTAGTGACGTTTGAGACTTTGTTGTTGTGTGAATGTCTTCTTGCAGATACCACACTCAAAACTCTGGTTTCTCTTGTGTGCTGATATTTTAAGTTGTGTTAACTTGTGCGATTCTGAAAATCTCTTGTTGGAAACATTACATTTGTAAGGTTTGTCTCTAGTATGTGTACTTTTATGTCTAGCTAAGTGGCCTGACTGCGAAAATCTTTTGTTGCAAACATCACATTCATAAGGTTTGTCTCCAGTGTGTGTTCTATTATGTACAGTTACGGCACTTGACTGCGAAAATGTTTTGTTGCAAACATCACATTCATAAGGTTTGTCTCCAGTGTGTGTTCTTTTGTGCATAGTCAAGGTGCCTGAATGCAGAAATCTTTTGTTGCAAACATCACATTCATAAGGTTTGTCTCCAGTATGTGTCATATTATGTACTGTTAAGTCACTTGACTGTGAAAATCTTTTCTTGCAAACATCACATTCATAAGGTTTGTCTCCAGCATGCATTCTTTTATGCCTAGCTAAGTGGCTCGATTGTGAAAATCTTTTGTTGCAAACATCACATTCATAAGGTTTGTCTCCAGTGTGTGTTCTTTTATGTACAGTTAAGGCACCTGAATACGAAAATATTTTGTTGCAAACATCACATTCATAAGGTTTCTCTCCAGTGTGCGTTCTCTTATGAACTGCTAAGTTGCCAGAATTCAAAAATCTTTTGTTACAAACATCACATTCATAAGGTTTCTCTCCAGTGTGTGTTCTTTTATGTACATGTAAGTCACCTGACCGCAAAAATCTTTTGTTGCAAACATCGCATTCGTAAGGTTTGTCTCCAGTATGTGTTCTTTTATGTTTCACCAAATTTCCTTTCTTTGAAAATACCTTGTTACAAATCTCGCATTTCCAAGACATGATTTCAGCTTTTGATCTTTTCTCCGTACGCTCACACGTGCGGTCAAATTTCGATAAAAATATCACCCAACCGGTCCCCCGGGACTTTCTTTATTGAATCTTTATAATATTCGCGTCTTACAGAATTTCTGATCATAAAAATGAGAATATTCAGAGACACAGTTTACTGAATGATACCAAAATGAAAATATGGCGCCCAAAAAGAATTCATATCGTGTTTCCACTTTACAAAAACAAATTTTCTATTTGCGAGATTATGCATTTTGATGTGTGTTATTACGGTATTTAAATTGCGATCAAAACCACAGAAATTGTAAGGGTCAAAACATATCAAAACAATGCTTACCTCTGTTTATTTGACAAAGTTTGGCCATGCTGGAAGATATAAGTTAACCAATGTGTTTATCGAACGTCAAATGATTGTCGAAGGAATACTCCATGATCTTTTTTGCATCAGTATGGGACGGGTATGATTATTTTCCTAAAAGGAACATGGTTTTCACAGGGATAATTATAATAACTCATTTTTACAACACCGTGCTTATTATATTAAACAATAGCATGCTTCTCAACCATGTTCTTTTCCTGCAGGCTGCTCTATTTACTGTTCTAGAACATTTGGAACACTGTTCTGGAACGATATAAAGTGGAGTGCACACGGTGTTCTGGAACAGTATTGAGTTTATTATATATGCGTGCAACCATGCACTACTATAGCTATATTAATTAGTTATTCGCATAATAAAGCGTATAATGATTCGCTAGCTGTTATTTGTACAATTACGTATGCTTTTGCAACGTTTTTACTTGTTAATTTTGCCCAACCCTCAGGCGTTCAAATAGCATATAATAAGTATATGTCGAAATATAGCGGTTAACCCTTCAAAATATTAAGGCTCGCTTCTATACAGTGTGCATTGGATACACAAAATATGTCGCCTCCATTTCCAATCACATGAAAATAGACAGTGTCACATGTCTGTTCTGCATGGCTGCCCCTAGTCGAAAATCGGGGTAGTCAGAACAGTTCAGAACAGTCATGTGACTCTCTTCTGTTCCATGCCATTAGTATTCCGAAAATCCGGAGTACTCCGAACAGTAAATGGAGCAGCTTGCAAGGGTCTTCCAAGCGTCTCCAAATTTTAAAGATAGGGTACAGTCCGGTCTGGGCATGCGCACATAGGAGTCTCCTGCTGTGATATAAACATTTTAATGGGCTTTAATTAGGTTTTTATTTCATTTTATGTTCTTGCAAAGCCTGATTGTTGTATCTTGATTATTTATTATACTGTAGAAGCATGAAAACATAAATAGTTGTTGAATTCATAAATAGTTATTCAATATTTTGAATACCGAAATGTAAACTGAAGGCTTTGTTTACATACGGACTGTACCGGCCAGGGTCTTAGCTAGAGGGCCGTGTTATTGCGGCCAAAAGTGGAAAAACACGGCTAGATAAAATGAACGCGGCTTCATTATTTATACAAGGCCGTACGTGTATGTTCATAAAATAAGGTGGTGCTACAGTACTTATAAAAGACAGAATTTCTTCCAATTTACGTCGTAAGAAAGTTTGTAAAATCTGCTGTTGTTGTTATTGAAATTGGCAAAAGTGGATAATGGGAACTGTATGCTGTTAAAATGGTTTTCAATACCCCCAAGAGTTGCTGAAATAACTTAATATTCTAATGTCACGTACTGCGCTATATCAGCATTATATGCTCACCTTGTATTTGGTTGCAAAGCATACAACAACCACATGCATTGTCTGGTATAACTATAGAACTGTGAATTTGACTATTCAAAGTAATTGACATGTGCACACACTGGTCATTAAAAACACGCCCAAGATCTAAAATCCTAGCTAAGACCCTGCTGTACCCTACCTTTAAAGTTCACTCATCTTGTTATGAAAAACTAGTTTCATATTAATCTGACACTGCAATCGAGCAACGATAAATTTGTTGGCTCGAGCAGGATTTGAACTCGCATCTTCGGGTATCTAGACCGCCGCTCTACGTATTGAGCTATCGAGTCAACAGGGATTGGTAGCGAGTCTTATCCGATTTAAGTGCACAAAATATTTTCGTGACGACTTAACACTTGTCTTAGAGGACGCGCAGTGTTTCAATTCTATTTCAGAACCATCCTCAGAGATACGAAAAACTAGTTTCATATTAATCTGAGACTGCAATCGAACAACAAAAAATTTGTTGGCTCGAGCGGGATTTGAACTCACATCTTCGGGTATCTAGATCGCCGCTCTACCTATTGAGCTATTGAGTCAACAGGGATTGGTAGCGAGTCTTATCCGATTTAAGTTCACAAAATATTTTCGTGATGACTTAACGCTTGTCTTAGAGGACTCGCAGTGTTTCAATTCTATTTCAGAACCATCCTCAGAGATACGAAAAAATTACATATAGATGACCATGTTTATGTACAAATGTCACCGACGACTTTTGCCTTCAAGTTTAAATGATCTCTTTACTCCTGTACATCAAATACATTCATATAATAATATAGACTTTAATCAAATCTTTGTTTTTCCTTTCCGAAAATAAGAACAAATTTTGGATTATTTAATATAAGATATCAGGGAGTGAAAACATGGAATGTGCTGAATGAAGCTGATAAACAGATGACGTTTTTACAACTTAAAAGTGTTATTTTTTTTAACTGATTGCCTTTTCTTTCCATTTTTTATTTTTCTTAATTTATTGGTTGAAAAATTGTAATTATTGTAAGATCAATCTTACAATAATTGATTAATTGTGCCACTTGCCCCCCCCTCATTCTTTTAGGCTTTTGGTTATTTTGGGGTGCTAGCTCCTTTATTTTAAATAATTATACGAGTCACATTTAATAGACAAAAAAAAAGGAATGATACGTAAAACAAAAAAATGTAATTTGTGATTATTATGGAGCAATAAATTGTCTTTGACTTTGTGTTTTTCAGCTAATTATTTCTTAATTTTTACTCACCGTTTCTTTTATCCAGATATAAATGGCAGGCATCTTCTCCTGTCAAACTTGAAGGCGGTCGTGCGTACTACTTGGAGGCATTAATGAAAGATGGTGGTGGAGGCGATCATCTCTCAGTTGCTGTGAAAGGTCCCGGTGAAGGCGCGCCAGCAATCATCCCTAATAGAGACCTGTTTATCAAGCCTCCAGGTATAAAGATTCGAGGTGTTTTGGGACTGCCCAGGGCTGGATCTACTGTGGGAATACAGGATGTTTGCACCCAACCCTTTGGTTTCTAGCACCCCCTTAAAGAGAGGGTCGTAGCTATAGTGGTGTGTGTGGTGTGTGACAGCCCTTGCAAACATCTTGTCGGCAAAATGAGGGATTTATTGGCAAATCATTGTCGTATAGTTGGCGGAAATACTTGAGTAGCTCGATTAAAAGTAATAGAATTTTGATAAATTTATGAAAATATTACCGGAATATGTAAGAAATTATGCTAAATGAATTGGAAAGTTAGTGAAAGATGGTATGTCCGGAAAATTTTTTATCTGCCACCCCCCGCCAACAATTTTGGGGAAACCAGAAAGATTAATTAGCGGCTGAAATATTGTCGGCAAATGCAATACTACTCCCCCCCCCCTGCTTTAGCTTCGGCCCTGCTTGGAAAAGTCCAGCGCCGCAAACATTTTGCGCTTTTCGAATAGCGATTAGCGGAACTTCTCCTGTTAGTGCGTGTTGATTTCTTGAATGATTTGTGATGAGAAAATACTCAGAATGCTTTAGTTAAATATCATGATTAAATATGTCAACATGTCGAGGTTTTTATACAGCCATATTTTTACATAAACTGTACTTTAACAAGTAAATTTACGTCCTGTCCTGTCCTCTGCTGTGCTACAGCAACTGTCCAGTTACGCGTATGTGATAAAAAGCCGATATAAACTTTATAAGCGAAAGATACAGTAATCTAAAACATAACATAAAGCAAATACTGGAATGCTGTATAATTTACTCCTTGTTTAAAAATGTACTCATTGTTTAAAAATTTAATATTCATTGTTCAAAAATTGCAAGTAGAAAATCAGTATTAACTACCCTAACTATATACCATGTATGTATTTGGGTTTCCTCAAAAGATTCCTGATGATGACTGCAAGCTAGTCGAAACGTCGAATCAAAATGTTAACCGTTTTCGGAGTGTCCATTGTTTTGTATTTTTTAAAATTACTCAGTGGTAACCGTAACTTTTGGTCATACAAATAACTATATAAAAATACAGTGAAAGTATGTATTTGCTTGTTGTCGGTATTTTTCAGCTAGTTGTCGGTAATTATCAGCTTGTTGTCGGTAATTGTGTGGTTGTTGTCGGTAATTGTCTGCTTGTTGTCGGTAATTGTCGGTTGTTGACGGTAGTTGTCGGTAATTAGTACGGTGACCGCAATGTGCGGCACCGTACGTTCTCTGAAATCTACATATGCAGGAAATTTTATATTCGACTTGCATACGAAATGTTCATATATACTTATGGTACTATCCAATATATTGACATTATTGTATCTTTTATACAGCTTCAAGTAAGCAACCTCTTAAATCCGTTGGGGCAATCTTACCAGGTAAAGTTAGTTGTCTTAATATTGCTATAAATCTTACCAAAAACTTTTGGGTACATATACAAATTTCATAGATTTTAAATCTGAAATGGCAGGATACGATTAGCAACATCAATATTGGAGTAGATGGATTATCCAAGATGGATTATCCAATATATATATATATATATATATATATATATATATATATATATATATATATATATATATATATATATATATATATATATATATATATATATATATATATATATATATATATATATATATATATACACTTTTCATACCAACTTAACCGGGAACGGTTGCTGCAGAAAATGCAACACTAGGTCGTCTGGCCAATCTCGAAACCAGAGCCCGCAATCCTCTGTGGAGGCTTGCTGAGGCTCTGGAAAACACCGGCGACTTCAATCTCGTTCCCCGAGCCTGCGATCCTCGGGAAGGAACGTGAGCACAGAGACGTGAGGCTCTGGGATAATCCGTTTCAGGGACGAATCTGATTGGCCGTTGAAATGGAATGCGTAGTTCAATTATAGTTCAATCTTAGCCACGATTCCTGGCTTCCGGCAACGGATTATCCCAGAGCCTCGCGTTCCTTCCCGAGGATCGCAAGCTCGGGGAACGAGATTGCGGCGACTTTTGCACGAAATCGGTACATTTGGATCCAGTACTCCGCTCGACATTTATAAATAGACATTACTGCCGTCAAACATGAATTATGCCGTTGTTTAAGCTTATTACGACTTTAAGTCTTCAAAGAATACTTGCCATGGTTTTGAATTGTTGTAAGATACTGGTAGTGATTTATTTTAACTTGTTTAATTACGGTAAATCATGGATTGTTGTGTTATTTTAAATATTATAGACAACGGCTTATCATGACCTTATATGGTAATGCTGCACTGTTGTTATTCTACATTTTGTTATTGGCATATCAATATCTGAATAGTCTATTGATTTCATATGAGAAGCTAGGGAAGATTAATAAGTTTATTAATGTTATGCTGTGTGTTTCATTGATATGTTTAAACATAATACACAAAGAGAAATAAACTTTATATTAATTTTAAACGATGTTTGAAATTTGAATCACTAAATATGGCTCAAAGTTTGAATAATAATTAGCACCTGAAAAACAACCAATCAGAGCCCGACTTTCGCTGGTGTTTCCCAGAGCCTCAGCAAGCCTCCTCAGAGGATTGCAGGCTCTGGTTCATTCTCGTACCCAGATGAATGGAACCTGTGGCCCAACCTCGTACCCAGGCTCTTACCTTCGCACGCCCCCAGCTGCGGAGCGTGCGAAGGTAAGAGCCTGGGTACGAGGTTGCCTGTAGCCCTGCGATTCCGGTGTGACGCGAAATTCTTGACTTGCGAAATATCTGACTATTGTAGAACTGCCCATGCGCAGACGATGCGCATGAATGACTTTGGCTCATAAATTTCGCAACTCAACAGACAACACGTTTATTTATAAATGTTGTGCTGAGTGGTTATATTTTAACGTTTTGATCAACTGAATTGACACTATACCACTGATTGTGAACGTTAGCGTTCAGCGATAATAAAGCTTGAATCGCAGATATAAAATAGACTCCTGACCAGTTTTAAAGGTTGTGCTATATGCATTACTATAAGCACCAAAAATCGTTTCGCGTTTGACCTTCTCAATCCTCACTATTTAGCAAGCAGCAACAATGAGTTCGTGAGTTGGCCGTTTAGATGTAGCGCTCTAACCAACTGCGCTATACAGAGTCCAGTTGACTATACTTGTGGTTAACGCTCGTCAACTGGCCTCTGTAGCTCAGTTGAATAGAAAACTGCATGCAACCGTTCCTGGTTTGGTATAAAAAGTGTACATATACAGGTATATCTGCATGTGACAGACTATACAAGAGATATGATTAAGATTAATTTCCCATCAAAGGAAACACCATTGAGATGCATACACATAGGCGATTTTTACATCTTTCAATCAACCTTGTACCGAAAACAGGAATCTCACGCCATAAATTGAAGGCTGTCAGTTAATAACATTATGTATAATATTTTTCAGAGTATGGAGTCACAATGCAAATGTGGTTAAACATTCGTCGAAATGATCTAAATCGTCTTACCAAAAATCGACGATATCCTGGAAAACCTGATATTTCCAGTAAATTACCTGGACTGGAAACACCAGAAAAGATTGACGATAACTATGGAATACGTTTGACAACCTACTATATGGTAAGTAGGTATACCCTATATATCAAGTTCTCAGTTTTCTTCCAATTCGCCGCGCATATAGGCCCAGTTAGGGCCTGTTTATATGCATGGAGGCGAGTTACCCGGCAAGGCGAGTTACGAGATCCCGCGACCATTATATAGAAAGGGTGACTGTTTACATGATGCAGCTGATCGAGTAACTCGTCTTGGCGAGTTCCCGGCAAAAAGAGGCGAGATGAATATTTTTCGATAACCGGCAAGCACTTTGCCCGGGTAACTCGGCCGCCCGAGATAGAATGTATGAGCTTTGCATTTGAAATATAATAGCTCAAGAATACATACAAATCGATAGATAAGTTTTCCTGAATTTCTCGGAGCTTATTCTTGTATTTTGACGACATTTTCAGGGTTTTTTCAGGGATTTTTTAGGGCCGTAAAACGGCCCCAAAAACTCAATCTTGAATTGAGTTTTGAAACTCAATATTCTCACAAAAGATTCAGTGCAGTAAAAAAGAAGTTGTTTGAGTTAAATTCGTGACGTGTGGAAATTAGTTTTCAGTTGGAAACCCGAAAATTAAGGAAAATAATGGCTGGAATTCATCTCACAACACAAGAAAAAACTACGCATTCGCCATGTTTAACCAGTTTGTAGTGTCTCTTAGTGCCCCTGCTTTAACACATTGCGTCTCAACTACATTTATTGAAGGGGGGGGGGGTGCAGCCACCCCAACTGTTCAGCTAAACTCAATCTTCTCTGCAAAAACGGACCCGAGAGAAAATTCTGAAAAAAACCCTGATTTTGTAATGCTTTTTAACGTTTCAAACGACTTAAATCGTTTTTGTGTTTTCGGAGCCATTTGGTGTCATGCGGCAATCATGCAGCAAAAGCAGAGCAACTCGATTCCAGATAAACAGAGCGCTTGTTTGTCCCGCGCCTGGACTAGTAACTCGCCTTGCCGGGTAACTTGCCTCTATATAAACAGGCCCTTTATATAAACTTCTATCCTCGTTTGACCGATGTATAAGAATTTTTGGCGAGGATTAATGAAAGTAAACTGATGATAAAGTTGCTTCATGTAATAAAGTGTTTTCTAGGCTCCGTTAACAGGATCGTATGTATTCTATATTGCTGGTGATGATCAAACCAAACTGTCATTAAGTACGGATGAGAAGCCAGAAAACCTGAAGCAAATTATCTTCAACAGAAGGTGGACGAGAAGAAGACAATGGAAAAAGTAATGTATTCCTGTAAAGTATTTTGATGATCATTCTTGATTTCTTGCAGTTTTAAGGCCATGTTTATACACAAGGTAAATGTAAACATTCCCACAGTTTATTTACAAATTTTTCATCCCATTTTTTTTCATCTTTTATCCTACAGTTTCTTTTCCGGAAATATTGCAAAAAATGTTGTAAATTAATACCTTAAGGGTTACAGAACACCTTTGAGTGTTAATTTTGCTTAAATTTTTTTTATTGGTTTTCGTGAAAGCATTAGACTAGTTCTACTATCTGACCAAATTTGAACGAAAAATGTTGAAAACTCGCAGAGTTATTTAATAAAATACATTTCGTTGCAATAAGAAATACATTGAAAATGTAATATTCAAATTCAATTTTCTCCCGAAGAATTTTACGGCAATTACTGATTTTCAAACGAGTTGTTGTCCTGCAGGTTTTAACGAATTTTTCTCAAATTTTCACAGGACATAGCTAAAGACGTCAGTTTCAAAATTGTGGTCGGCTTTTTTCTAATTTTGGATAGGCAATGTAAGGAGTAATTCACTCAAACGATTCTGAAATATATTGCAGTCGTCAAAGAAATCGCCATTTCAGCGGAATGACGAAATAAACAAAAGTTTCCGAACATAATTTTTTAGAACAACCATTTTACTGTATAAAAATGATATTTTCATAAATATATCTTAAAACCAGCAGGAACACAACTGAAAAGCGTAATGGTACCGCGATTTAAGATTTTCCCGAATAGTTTTTACATTATTTTATTGTTTGGCAATTTTACAACTTTACCATATTTTGCATGCACTGGCTAACATTTGGTGAAAATTTGATGAAAATCGGACTGATATTGAGCGCGCAGTAGCGATTTTCCGCAAAACGCCAAAAAGGGTGTCCTGTAACCTTAAAGAGTGAACTGGAAAATGTGTAATCAAGTGCGGGTTTTCACCATTGGGTTCGGAAATTCATTGCCAAGATTCAAATGACTTTTCCAAATTGTGCTGATATTAGTCATCGGGCATCAGTGTGGATTATAACGGTCGGCAATCGGCTATTTGCCGAACAAAAACACCAAATGGCCGATCAATTTCATTCTGCACGGACATTTTGTCCGATCAAATAAAATACACCACACTGTTCATTTAAATTGAAAGTAGTTCATGTGAAAAGTACTGTTTGAAAAGCATCTAACTATGCCTACTATACCACGCAATCAATAAATATTTGGATGAAAAAATCACTCAGAGGGAACATTGTTATTGAGCTTCTCTTTTAGCAAATACTCTCTCAAGTGACCGAATCTCGATAGTTACAGTCCATAACCGGCGGCGTTTACAATACTTACTACTTACAAAAATATGTTTCATTTCTATAAGCCGTAGGCCTAGCTATATATTAGTAAATAACTTTTTTCCTAAAGAAACACAAACAAAGTGAAGGCGCGGAGGACGTTGCTAGTTGGCGTACGTCAAGCTTTTTTCTGCATGCAAACGTGCAATCAATAATGGTACGTCGATGTGTAGTACTGTCACGTAAAAATGGTTGAAATAGTTGGCTGACCATTCTTGGCCAATGTCCGAGCAACAGTCTCGTTAATCGGACATTTGTCAGACCTAAGCAAAAACGTTATAATCCACGCTGTCGGGCATCCATCGGACATCATAACACATGTCCGACTCAAGTCATCGAACATTTTGTTAGACGGTTCTCTGTCCGATATTTTAAGACCTGCGAAAATGACGTCATTCTCCCATCTCTTCTTTACAAACGTCGAAGACGTCTTCTAATTTAAAAAAATGGTATAGGTTTTCCTTACAAGAGATTGACCTTTTTTTTATCTCCAGGTATTCGACTCAAAAATCCGCAAGGGTAGATCTCCAGGAAGGTGGCATATACTTCCTAGAAGCCTTGTTAAAGGAAGGCAGAGGAGGAGATCACGTGAGTGTTGGTGTACGACTTCCTGTTGGCATCATGGAAGCTCCTATTTTCACTGAATCTCTTTTCGTCAAACCTCCCGGTATGTCCAGGGACCTACAATATTTTTAAGAGGAGTATTTTTGTATGTTACGTAACACGCGCTCAAAACTAATGCGTATAATAAACCACTTGAGGTTATGACTAAATTCAAAATTTTTATTTTTCGATACGTTTCTCAATCGGCAAAAAAATTTAAAAAGTATGTTTTGTGCTTTATCTGTAAAATAGTTATAAAATGAAGAGATTTTAGATGATACGCCAAAGAGAAAATGATTTCTGAAGTTCAGTAAGTTTTGCTTATATGGCTGTAAATATGGCGTCAATTTTAAAGCATCTTTGATATAATTGTATTTTAATTGACAATTTTTAACTATTATTTTATGTTTAAATTTCTCAACCGGCAGATGCATTTAAAGAGGTTGCTAACTCTATAAACTAGAGAATAAAGCTGAAACAAAGTAATTTTGCATGAGAGGAACGCCAAAATATTTTAGATTTTTGAACACTTTCCTTGCAAATACGTGACATTGAAAAAAATTGCCTCTTTAAAATGTTCTTTTGCAACAGAATTTTTCCCATGGTATACTGTATTGTAGAGAAAACCCAATACAGTAAAACCCGGCATATAGCCTAAGAACCTACATTTTCCAAGTTAGCCTAAACAGGTTCTTATGTAAATGGTGCTTACATGCAGGAAATTAGGTTCTTAAATAGGTTTTTATTTTCTTAAGAGAAAAGCGATTCATTTTAGGGAGCTGTAGTATATAATTTATATAAATTAGGCACAAATGATTTAAAAACTAACAGTCGACCCTTTTCATAAATGGCTGCCGATTAAAAATTCTTTTATGTACATATAAATTGGCCCAACTAGCCTCGTATACTCACGTTAAGATTTCAAAGGAATTTCTACCCAGAAACGAGGCTAGTTGGACCAATTTATATACACATAAAAGAATTTTTAATCATCGGCAGCTATTTATGAAAAGGGTCTATATCACTGATCTAATAGTAGACTGGATATAGCTTCTCTAGGTGTGAAAAGTGAAGCCAAATTATATATGCGGAAATCACTTCCGGGGACCACGGATTGATACAAATTACTATAGAAATGTATGCAGGCGAACAACCACTGATATTAGATCAGTGGTCTATATGCACTATGCCAACTCTATATATGCACTTTAAAGCAACACTGATTATAACTTATGACTTAATTTTGACTCTATTTGATAATCTAAGAGTTTTTAAAGTTTTGAATTGTAGCCTGAACAGGTTCTTATTTAAAGGGGGTTTAAAAGATATTTTAGCCCAAACAGCTTCTTAAATTCTAGGTTCTTATATGCGGGGTTTTACTGTAGTACGAATTAAATAAGACTATAAACATTAGTTTTCCAAATGCAAAACTCTTTTCATTTATTAGTTCAAACAACTCCAGAAGATATTGGATCCGAAGCTATTGAAGAACGTTAGTATATAATTATATTATTGGAACTCTGAGGAAAACAGATTAGAAATGATAGAGCTATCTAGTAGCCCACAACACGACGACTAAACAAAATCACTAGAAAACCTACATGGCTGTTGTTGTGGACAAAACACGTGCTCATCATTTTTTTAACTAATGCATGTATTTGATAGTGACAAAATTAGCCTATATAATTAGCCATTCGTTGATCGATTGCAGTGTCAGATTAATATGAAACCAGTTTTTCGTATCTCTGAGGATGGTTCTGAAATAACATTTTAAAGTAAGTCGTTCTGCATATGTGACGAGGAACGTTGGTCCTTTGCATATAATACAAAATAAAATATCTCCAAAACGAAGCAAGAAAACAAAAATCTGTCAAAGAAGTTACTCTGATCTTTTAATGATCTTTCAAATTTGAGCAAAAAATAACAGCGTCAATTTTAGAGTCATATGCCCTTTAACTAGAAATTAATTTAATATTTGTGTGTGTTGGTGTTATGTACTCAGGTCCCAAAGGTCGCGGGTTCGATTCCCACCGTGGTCAAGCAAACTTTTCAGCTTGCCCGGAGTGGATGCACACTCAGAGTAACGTCACAGACATCAAATTAATTTAAGTTTGCCTTCCTCCTCGAGTAGAAAACTGGACCGATGACGTCAACCCGTACCAGACATCTAAACAGAGCAGTTTAGAACTGTTATAGCCATCCAGTTTATAAATAATGTTAGTTCAACTTATATACACCAGACAGCTGCGTATCGAGAGGAATGGCAACTATCTGAAAAATACAAGTAAAACTTGACGTCTTGAGCGAAGGCCCTTTGTCGGAGTTTGGCCAAGTTTTACATGCATTAATTTTTCAACATGAGCTCCACCTTTGAATTTACTATACAGGGTGTATAAAAAAAAACGGAGTCCAACTTTTGTGCTTAATAACTTCCGGACTGCTACTTCTAGTAAAACGGTTTTAGGCTTATTTTATTAAAGCCTGTTCATTTATCTTTCGGCCAAATGGTCATCCGTGTCTTTAGTGCAAGTATAGCCTGCGAACAGGCTCTCAAGCTGAATTGAGAGCCTGCATTGATGACTAATGAATTTGAATATCTGCGTCTCAAATCGTGACGCGAAATTCTCATTGGTCAGATGCTATAATTTATATGTTTCCGCTGAGCTCTATATATGTCAACTGCTGAAGCATTATGCATAAAAAAACACATTAACTGATCAAATTGGTCTTGGCCGTCTTATCTCAAAGCACGAAATGTTCTGTTTTGAGAAAACAGTATTTAAAACATTTGAACTTTTGCTTGAATATCTTATATTTCGAAAAACAGTATAAACTGTACAGTCTAAATTTAGTTTGCACGGTCTAAATTTAGTTTGCACGAAAGTTGTAAACAACACCATATAAGGATAGACATTCCATATTTGGAAAAACGAACGTTACGGGCAGATATTCAAATTCATTAGTCATCGATGCAGGCTCTCAATTCAGCTTGAGAGCCTGTTCGCAGGCTAGTGCAAGTAATAAATGCACAGGAGAAAATTTAGTAAAACCTATCATGTTTAGATGCCGCTTAATTATACAAATTTACTGTGTTATTCCATAGTCGGTTGCAATGTTTGAATTTTCTTGTTCAAACTTTAATGTTCTTGTTGCCACATCGGAAAAACTAGTAAGAACTTGTTAAAAACATTCTAAAAGAGATTAGGTAGTTTTATTTATTTCAAAATCCTATATTATTTCCAGAAATCATCAAAACAACCTTACGTCCATGCATCGTCCGAACGAGCACCATCGAATCGGGCCGTAATGTAAATATAAATTAGCAAGTTGACAGCAAGCTAAAACACGCTTCAGCCGGTATTATAACGCATTTGAAGTCAGCAAGTGGATTTAAAATAGTGTATTGGAAGCCATTATTACTTGATTTTTACAAGCAATTGCCAAAATGCCTCAATTTGCTCGTTTTGTTGACAAAATAAGTTATTTTCATCAAGTACCGGTTTGTTACTGCATCTCAAATTTTTGACTCTCCAATCGCAATCACTTAAAATATTATTATTCACGAACGTCTGGATTATATTTACGAAACAACCCACCGTTGAAAAGCTGGTCGCGCAGGGGTGGGAAGTTTTTCAAGTTCCTTAAAAAAATAGTTTTTAAAAAAGTTTTAAAAGAATTTTAAAAAGCAGGAAAAGTTTAAAAAGTTAGATTTTTAAAAAAGTTAAAAAATGTTAAAAAAGTTAGGGGTTAGTGGTTAGTGGTTAGGGGTTGGGGTTAGGGTTAGTGTTAGGTGCCGCGAATTTATTATTATGATAAATTCAAAATTTGCCGCGAATTTATCATAGTGATAAATTCGGACGTGTTTAAGAATTTACTCATATAGTAAGTTCAAAGGTGGAGCTCAATTTTTAGGTGGTCGAATCCCTCTCTCAATCCCCGCGTCTTTTTGGTGTTCAGGGGTGGAAAAAATGTTTTCTTTCTGGGAACCTGGGTCGAAGGCTAGAAATTTTCTGTAAAATTTGCAATGTTACAATTACAAAAATGACAAAACAAATGCATAATTATTGTATTATTTGTACTTTAGTAATAATAGGCTTTAGGCTGGTTTTCGTAAGCTCGTACATCGCAATAGTTGTCTATTATATACCACAGTTATGAGTTATGACCAACTAGTAAGGGTCTAACGCTTAACTAAGTGTCCTATCATCTTATTTATTCCATTACTTTTATTTGTTTACTATTTAATTTGCATTTTATTGGAGACTTTGCAGAGCATATATTTACCATTTTACCTGATTGTGATGGCAGGGGTGGGTAAAAGAATTAATTTCTGTCAAGTATTTAAAAGCTGCTGACGTTAGCGCGTACAGTGTAAATAAAGTAGAATAGTTGTAACTTAGGGGTCGTTCAGACTGAGTGCCCGGCACTGGTGCCCGGCACTTGTTTTGGCTCCCAGTTTGAACACGACGCTTTCAAATGAAATTGGGCACAGTGCCCAAGAACGGGCACTACCTCTAGAGGTAGTACTCAACAACGGCACTGTGCTCAACATGTTTTGTGAACCATTTTGAACATTGGGCACCAGTGCCGGGCACTCAGTCTGAACGACCCCTTATAAGTTGAGTAGTAAACAGAGTTATCTCAAAATGTTGAAATATTTTCTGGAAAATTTTCTGCAAAACTCTCTACTCAAAAACATTTCTGGGAACTAGGTTCCCAGGTTCCGATACTTCTTCCACCCCCTGATTGTCACACTCACGCTGCATGCACAGACCCTTCGAGTATGTAACTTATATATAAGCACAATAATTCTATCTCCTCATTCTTAGCCATCGCAAAGCGAGGTGTAAACTTTGAGACTTGGGAGAACATACCAGGCAATGACTTGAAGATGTTATTCAAGGATTCACGTTATCCTGACAATCCAGACAACACACAGACATTGCCATCCTTTAGTACGCCTGAGAACCGCGGAGATAATTACGGAGCCAAAGTGACAGCATATTATCAGGTAAAGGGGGTAGGGGGGTTGGGTATTTACTATGGTTGGTGACTGCCCTGTGCACAAGTACAGTTGTGGTGGATTTTCTGCCACGCTTCGAAGACGTTTTCTCAGTGGTTTACTTGGCGGATATTATTTCCTCTTTTATAACTAACCATCCATATATGGACCTATTACCTAATGAACAAAATTTTGATCTAGACAAGTCTAGAAAAAGATTTTATCACGGCTTGAAAGAGCACCACAAAATTAGTAATATTCCGAAGTTTCGTTGCGAAATGTTGTAAATGCGGACAATAAAGCACTGCGAAGTTTGCCGTTTTTCAGTCATTTTGTATTACGCACGGGAAATTGATACCGCTTTCTGAAAAAAGGTATATCAATTTCCTGTGCGTAATACAAAATTACTGAAAAACGGCAAACTTCACAGAGCTATATTATCGCCATTTTACAACGAAACGTCGGAATATTACTGCTTTTGTGATGCTCTTTCAAGCTGCGGTGAAATGTTTGTCTAGACTTGTCTAGATCAAAATTTTGTTCATTAGAGAATAGGGCCATTAGGCATTAGCTATGCCGAGATTAATTGGGCATTGTAGCCAGTGGTATCCTAGTATACCTTCACAATTCAGCTTCAAGAAAAGATGATTAGAACCCACTATCTTTCGCATAACAATTAATGACTGTACTTAAAATGTGCCCATTTTAGGCCCCTGAAACTGGTGACTATAAATTCTACATTTCCTCTGACGATGCTTCAGAATTACGAATCAGTACAGACGACACTAAAGTAAATGGACGCAAAATTGCTGGCGTTCGATTACATACCAAGCCACATGAGTGGAACAAGTATGTATATTTATTTTTTATCAGTGAAAATGAAGCAATCTGATTGGCTGAGAGCCTTTCAGAGCGGGCCGGTTTTTTGCATCCGGCCCGCTCTGAAACGCAACTGCCCGCTGTGAAATGCAACTGCCCGCTCTGCCTTTCGCGACAAAAACTGAGGAGTGAAACAATTTTTTAAAAGAAAAAATCTGCCAAAAACGTTTGAAAAACATAGCCTAACGATAGTCAGAATACAATAATGAATTGCATCAAGCCCTAAAGGCTTCATACTAAGCACGATGTTCACCAGAATTGCCAATATTTTGATAGAAATGCGACTGAAAGTCGGAAAGTTATTCGACATGTATAAAAGTTACGTCGAGAAAACTACATATTTTTTAAATGCTCATGGATTCGGCCACTTAAAAGCGAAAAAATTACAGCTTAAACAGTTATTGTAAAATAAATGTTTTCCCATTTAAAAAAAGTTTCATTTGCAGCAGTGAAAACAAGTCACGAATATATTCTCTACCCATTTGTGTCATACATTCTTCACTGATGTAAATATTGTAAACAAAGTAAAAGTTTGTGTTTAAATTAAAAACAATTTTTTTCAAGCATATTATCGTGAAACGACAAGAAAAAATACAAAAATATAAAACCAACATACCCTTTTCATTGACCTTTTAGTAGAAAAACGTTGATTGAATCAAAACAGATTCATTTTTATATGTTTTTGATCTGATCTGAACATGAACTTGTCGTTGTCAGGAGCAACTGATTTTGTCAAAGCCAAAGCCAAAACGCCAGGCATAAAAGTTGTTATTCCAAATCTTCTCTTCTATACCATATTCATGAAAAAAGCATGTACATTTTTACTGAAACTATACGTCTTTTTGTGTGTTTCTTGCCAGTTTTCTCGAGTTTTTGTATCGTGTTTTATATCATTCAACTTTTCAAATTTCAATTTTTGTCAGCCTCGCTTTGAAAATACACAACTGCACTGATCTCAAATTAGTTCGCAAGCAACACTGGAATTTTAATCAATATAATTTTTACATCTGATAAAAAATAAACACGTTATTTACCGGCAGCGTCGGTCCGGATGAGAAAAACTGTGCCCTCGGTCTTGAAAACGTACCTCGCCCTTCGGGCTCGGGCCGTTTTCAAGACCTCGGGCACAGTTTTTCTCATCCGGACCTCGCAGCCGGTAAATAACATATATATATATATATCATTCTATATATCTGGAGAGTTCTATTGCAGTTCTATACTGTTCAAGTTAGAGGTTCAGCGATAGCCATCCATATTGGTGCAGTGTCAGGGGCGAAGGACCGGGGGGGAGGCCCCCAAGTTTTGCGAAGTGCCCTTTTTCCGGGAGCAAAGTGCCCTTTTCTTGTGTGAAAAATGTCTTAAGGATTGTCTTTTTTGCCCAAAGGGCGGTTTTGAAAACTTGAATTTATGTTATTTTCCGGAAAATTAGTTTCATTTCCGGGAAAAATCTGATATATCCGGAAAATGTTTTGCAAATGTCCGAAAAATTTGTTTCATATTTAGGAGAAAAATTTTGAGACCTCCCCCACTGTCGCCAACTATTCCGGGAAAAATTTTTATATGCCCTTTTTTTTCTGAAAGTGCCCCTCAAAGCCTGCCCCCCAACTTTTAGAAGCTTCCTACGCCCCTGTGCACTGTCACTACAAGACGATAATGAAACTAAATTTTAACAATCTAAAGTTATTATACTGGATAGATAGATAGAAAAACTTATTTAAGAAGCCACATTGCAACATTAGATCACCCCTGATGAAGACACTAGACTGGAGTGTTGAAACGTTGTGTCCTGATTGCAATTCAACTGGGCTTTGTAATCATTTATATAAATCAGAGAGTAGCGTGCGAAAACATCAAGATGCCCTGCATGGGACCTTTTATAAGAGTCCCGTTCGTACCTTACCTTTCTGGATCTACATTTGATATCTAGGTTATTTTAACTTAATGTAATATTTGTTCTGTTATATTCTTTTGTTTGTTAAAAATTGTGAATATCGATCCAAATAAAATTTGTTAAATTAAATTAATACATAGTATTATAAAAACTAACAAAATTAGCTAAAGTTATAATTTACTGATTTACAGGTATATTAACATCTATTTTTTCAATTACTGTAGCTATATCAATCAATATGAATAGCGATTTTCTTTCGAAGGGAAGAAAAGGATTTGCTCTCTCTAATTTCTTTAGGAATAGAATTCCAAAGGTGTACTCCGTCATTCGTCATACATGAAACTTTTTTTCGTATTATTAGTATGCGGTTGTGGTAAACGAAGACTACATGAAATGTTCCGAAATTTATAGTTTGTCACCTCTCCCTTATCATTAGTGAGTGATTTGGGTATCATTCGATAATTTATACATGATTTTTGCTTTCCTTTTCTTTCTGTTTTACTGGCTTCCAACCCAATGTTTGCAATGCAACAGAATGATCTATGTCATTACTCATATTCATAATAATCTAGCTCTGTCAGTATCAAATTTTCTCCCTAGAGGTTCAGTGAGGGTCATCCCGTTTTGGCGCGGTGTTACTATAGGAGGAATCTGGAGTATCCGATGGAAACTTGTGCTGTTTGCTAGAGTCAAACGGACTCTCATTAAAACCGACAAAAAGTAGAATTAGAATCCAATTCTCAATAACTCTCCCTTCGTTCCACCAATGGTTTCCTGTATTAATTTTAACAGGTATCCAGAGCAGCAAAGATCAAAAGCAGTTGGTTTGGAAAAGGACATAGTTTACTACATGGAAGCATTTCTTAAAGAGGGAAGAGGTGCTGATCACCTTGCCGTCAGTGTAAGGCTACCCTCAGGCAGTGTAGAGATACCATTGATGAAGAACATTTATACCAGGCGACCGGTTGGTAAGTTCTGTTGGTTTAAACGGGTTTTTTTTCTCAAAATTCGTCGATAATACTAGCAATCTTGCAAGCCAGGCTGTCTACTCCCTCTCCCATCACAAACACGCTCCAGCAGAGACCCTGGTTCACGCTGGTCACGTGACACCCAAACTCTGGGCATAATCTGGGGTGTCTTTAATTAGCGCTCTGTGTGCTACTCAGGGAGGTTTGGCTGAGTAATAATACATCATCAGTTCACAGTGAATGCATTCTGAACTGATCGTGATGCAATAAACACAAAAGGAGGCTCAAACAAGATACTGTATAAAGGAATGCCAAAGATTCTCCAAACCAAAACATCTCTACACAATTCTGGGTTTTTTTAAGCCTAAGGACAGTTGTCAATATGTTTTAAGGCCCATACAGACCGGACGCGATTTGGCAACGCGACCCGAATTTTCAGTTTTCAATGACATTTAATTAACTTTAATATTTTTCAATGTTTTTCAAATATTCGGAACCACTTAAGCAATTTTAGCTATTTGGTCTGCATATCTTGTAAAATTTTTATCAGTTGACGGTTTTATTTGTTTTTGAAAACTGAAAATTCGCGTCGCGTTGCCGAATCGCGCCCGGTCTGTGCGGGCCTTTACAATTATAGAACTACAATTGCAAAGGAAATAAAACCGCAACTGTCTTTGTGTTCGGCCAGGTAGACAATCGATCAACACTTGTTTATACTTTCCAATTCTTCAAAATTCGGGATGACTCACATTTCATGGACACAAAGTTAGATAAGTTAAATTTTCTGCTGGAGCGTGTTTGGAAATGAAGCGGAAGTAGAGATCCTGGTTTGCAAGGTTGCAATACCAGATACTTTTATCGAACCTGAGAGCAGAGTGTGTCTTGAGAGCACCAATGGATCATTTGCATTATAGACTAAATTTTGATCTAGACAAAAATTTCATCACAGCTTGAAAGAGCATCACAAAATTAGTAATATTCCAAAATTTCGTTGCGAAATGTTGTAAAATGCGGATAATATAGCCATGGAAAGTTTGCCGTTTTTCAGTCATTTTGTATTACGCACGGGAAATTGACAGCCCAATCGGGTGTTGGGGCATCAATTTTCCGTTTGTAATACAAAATGACTGAAAATTGCAAATTTCGCAAGGCTATATTATCCGCATTTTACAACATTTCGCAACGAAACTTTGGAATATTACTAATTTTGCGATGCTCTTTCAAGCTGTGATGAAATTTTTGTCTAGATCAAAATTTAGTCTATAATGCAAATGGTCCATTAAAATCTAATGAGCTTGGCTTCTATCACTACCTCTATCATCATCGTCATTACTACTATCACCACTATCGTCATCAGAATCATCATCATCATCATTATCCTCATCATTATTATCGTCGTTATCATCATTACTATCATCATTATAATTATCATCATCATTATCATCGTTATATCATCATTATCATCATTATCATTATTATCATCGTTATAATCGTTATTATCATCATTATCATCATTATCATCAATATCACCATCATTATATCATCACTACAGTTTAAGATTATCCTTTTTTCTCCATAGCACCGAAACCTGGCCGGCCGTTTCCAAAATGGCCAGACGACTTCCGTTGGAACAATGCTGGACCATTAAAGGACTACCGTTGTGTACAAATATCAGAGCCTGCTGACAAACATACATGGCATGATAACTTCTTCTGTTCTTCGGGTCTTAAGAAAGATCCTGGCATGAAGTGGAGTTTTGCTGGTGAAATTGATGGCATGAAATGCATACAGATCCAAGAGCCAGCTGATCGCGATACTTGGCATGATAACTACCTCTGTCTGCCAAGTGATTCTCCACTCAATCTTCAGTGGTCCAATGCCGGACCGATTGCTGGTAAAGCTTGTATACAATGGTCTGAACCTGCAGATCCTAACACGTGGAATGATAACTATTTGTGTGGTAAGCTTCAGTTACTTTTGTGCTGTTGTTTTTTTTATAATTCCACTTTCGTTCCTTTCAGATAGTTTCACTCATCTGGTGTTTGAAATATTTATGAGAATATCCTGTGCGTTGAACTTTGTATTGTAATTTGTGTTCTTCTCAGCGAATCCGATAGCTCAATTGGTGATGTTTCAGCATTGTTCGCTGAGTGTGCGCACAGTTTTGGGGATTTACCATGAATAATATACAGGGTATATCTGAAAAAATGAGACAATTTCGAAACACAAATCCGTTCATGTCATTAAATTTTTTATAAATAAAGGTTGTTTGGGTACTTATAATATAGAAAAGGCCAAAACATTTCGTAAACAGCATTAAACATAACTTGCGCGCGAAATTTAAAAGTTTAAAACGCATTTTTGAGCTCATGGGCAAGAAATTCGTTATGTGTTTTATAAATGGTCCAAATATCAGAAAATTTACTCAATATTTAAGTCCTTTAAATAGCTGCTGAAACTTTTATTTTTTGGCACCAATGCGTATCATGTATACTTAATTCATGCATTTACCTAATGTAAAAAAGTAAAATAACAATATGCAAGTTATTGTTAATGCTGCTAATAAAGACATCCCCTTCTCTGGAAAATTTATCTTTACGAAAATTGTTTGTGTATTCTATATTATAAGTACCCAAACAATCTATATTTATCACAAATTTTATGAAGTGAACGGGTTTGTGAAATTGAGAACAGTTTGTCTACTTTTTTATACATCCTGTGTGTTACCATAAAAAGAATAAATTCCACAAATTATAATGTCTGCCATAGCCAAAGAAAGGTCTTACTGTTCTTCGAATTTTTGTATGGTTATCATCATCACTACCATTATCAGCATCGATCATCACCACTACCACCATCATCACCACCAGCATCATCAGCACCATTATCACAATCATCATCATTGCTGAGATCATCATCACAATCATTATCACTACCACTATAATCACAATCATCATCATCAGCAGAATCACCATCATTATAACTACCATTATCACAATCGACAGTAAAAGCATTCGGAAAATGTTACTTTTTCATAGGTCCGGAATCTGATCAACCGTTCCCTGAATGGCCAGATGACTTCCGTTGGAACAATGCTGGACCGTTAAAGGACTACCGCTGTATACCAATATCAGAGCCTGCTGACCGTCATACGTGGAATGATAACTTCTTCTGTTCCTCGGAAAACAAGAAAGATCCTGGAATGAAGTGGAGTTTTGCTGGCCAAATAAGTGGCATGAAATGTATACAGATCAAAGAGCCATCTGATCCTAATACATGGACTGATAACTATTTCTGCTTACCAAGTGATTCTCCGCTAAATCTTCAGTGGTCCAATGCCGGCCCGATTGCTGGTAAAGCTTGTATACAATGGTCTGAACCTGCAGACCCTCACACATGGAATGATAACTATTTGTGTGGTATGGTTGTTTTGTCTATTTTAACATCCTTTTTTATGATACTTTTTGTGTGTGTTGGTGTTATGTACTCAGGTGAATTGCACCACTAAATCCATAGTATATTCCTACTATTTCGATACAATATCCATAGTATGGAAATATACAATTATTATGAATAATTATAATCTATTTCAAAGATAAGGTCCATACAATTTCCATTTTATGGCCTTCTATGGATTTTCAAGATTTTTTCCAGTGTAACTAGACTTAGTTCCGAAATAACACCAACTCGAACCGACATGACCTCGTACAGCATTGGACTGGTATGGCAAAGATCGCGGGTTCGATTCCCACTGTGGTCAGGCAAACTTTCAGCTTGCCCGGCGTGGATGTACACTGAGAGTAACATCACAAACATCCTTTTTTATTTCATTATGGTGGAGGACTTTTATACTAAAACGTAAATTTATCTGGTCCACTTGTAATGACAAAGTCGCAACTTTTCTCTGTTCTGATAGTCAGTTTTGTTTGTTGTGTTACCAAAACTTCCATGTAGAACTTTGACAAGACAGAAGCTTGTGATGTAGCTGCAAGTTATCATGGCATCCTCCAAATTAGCCTGCGTTGTAGCCTGACGTTTGCTACATCGATATCCCGGTATGGCTGGTTTTTCGTTTTCCAGCACAAGTATGAGTGATGGTAATGCTCAAACAGAAATGTTACTATCTTTAGGTTTTACACATTTTGGTGTCTGATTACCTCCAGGGGTCGGTTGTTTAAAACTGGGTTAGCGCTAATCCTAAGTTAAAATTCGACTCATTTATTTCTAAAAGTCAAAAAAGAAAACTCCTATTGATCCAGGCAAGATTTATGAAGAAATATTTCGAAGCTTGCAGAAAACTTGTTGGGAAGTTCGATTTGAATGTTAGGTTAATCTAGGGTGAAACTAACTGGCTTTTAAACAACACGCTCCAAACTAGACAAACAGTTAAATTTAATTTAATTTTTCTACAGTCTTAATTAGCTGTTTGCTAAATAAGATTTTCTATGTTTAGGTGACAAGTACTCTCCGCCAGAAGTTCAACCAACCCCAGGTGGAGTTCCGGCTACTCCAGGTGTTCCTTCCAGCCAACCTGTATTGTTGCCCTCTCTTCCGAGTGGTGTCAGCCCAAGTCCATCCCTGGCCGGTTCACCCACTCCAGGCCAGGTTTTAACACCTCAGCCTGGTATAGCTACCAGCCCTGATGGTTTACCGCCTTCGGGAGAAATAACGCCAGTTCTAGGTGGTCTACCTTCTTTGCCTGTACCCATTACTCCGGGCACGTTGACACCTTCTCCTGCTGGTCTCATTCCTGCCACTGTCGCACCAGCAACAATACCTCAGGCTGGTATAGCTACCAGCCCTGATGGTTTACCGCCTTTGGGAGAAATAACGCCAGTTCTAGGTGGTCTACCTTCTTTGCCTGTACCCATTACTTCGGGCACTTTGACACCTTCTCCTGCTGGTCTCATTCCTGCCACTGTCGCACCAGCAACTGCTGTTTTACCACCATTGGCTACTGTTACCACTGGTCTTGGCGGTCTTCCTATTGGAGTACCCACCACTCCTGTTTTGCCTCCTATTGGCTTACCTACTGGCACAATTACGCCCGCTCTTGGTAACCTACCTACCTTAGGAAGTGGTCAACTTGTTTCTGATACAATCACCCCCACCCCTGGTGCTTTATCAATACCTGATACACTAGCTCCTACACTTACTCTTTCACCCAGTGGTCAATCTGTACCTGTTATTATTAATCCAGATTTAAGCGCTGTTAGCCCTGCCCTCGGCAGTGCTGTACCAATAGCTAGCAGTGTTAACATTCCTCAGCCTGCTCCTGATAACGAACCACAGCCATCATGTAAGTGTGACTTCACTAATATTTATTAAAGATTTTAATATTAATAGCCCCATTTCTACTAGACACAGATCATCGGTCAAAATGCTTCATTCGCGTGACGGATTTTATATAAAGAATACTAATAAGGCAGTATATCTATTGAATTTGTAGTCGTGTTTGAAACCGTAATATAATAATAATAATATAATATCCTCGATTTCTATAGCGCTCATATCCAAAAGTTCAAGGCGCTTTACAAATAAGAAGAAGTAGATACAATTATTTACATTTATGTACATATACTTAAATAAACCTACAGACCCATCTATATCAATCAAAAGAAAGATACAGGGCACTATTATTAATAAAAAGTTTAAAAAGATAAGTTTTGAGATCCTTTTTAAAAGTCGATATACAGGATGCCTTTCGCAAACTGTGTGGAAGTTTGTTCCATAGTTTTGGAGCACACACAGCGAAGGATCTGTCACCATAAGTTTTACTTTTGGAAGAAGGCACCAGTAAAAGCTCATTTGCAACTGAGCGGAGGGATCGAGTAGATGTTCGATGTTGCAAACAACTAGACAAGTAGAGTGGACAGGCTCCGTTCATTGACTTATAAACCAATAGAAGAATTTTAAAAACGATTCGGTAGTGAACAGGAAGCCAATGTAGACTCGCAGGACGTGTTTCGTTAGGTCTAAAGCCACTTGCGTTCTGCGCTCGTGACTTTAAACCTAATAAAACACTCCTGCTCGTTTATTAAACAGTACTTAATTTTTCTTTCAATATAATTTTTATTGCCAATGCTGACACCAAGCGTACGAGATTTAATGTGTATCCTGAATGTTCTTTATAGCAAAATGGATCAAACTGCCCGGAAAACTGGCCCAGATTGACGGTGGCTTAACAAAGAGTGTGTATGGTACAGACTCAAATCAGAACGTCTTCAAGGTGAAAAGCAAGCTGTATCCGATCCCAGACATCCATCTTACGCACGTTAGTGTTGGTCAAGGTGGTATCTGGGGTGTCAACGCACAGGGCCAGATTCTGTTCTCTCTTTCCAAGACAGGTTGGAAGATCGTGCCTGGTAATCTGATTCAGGTAGATTCTGGACCTGCTGGTGTGGTGTACGGAGTGAATAAGGATTACACAGTCTACTACAGAGATGGAATACTTCCAGGTATAATTTCATTATGATTAAAAAAATACAGCCCTGGGGCCGGTTGTGTAAAAACTTAACCGCAGTTAGCGCTAACTACCGTAGATAAATCCTTAACTGTAGTTAGTTAACTAATGTTGGAAAATTTTAAGTTCATATATTAATAAAAAACATATTTCAGCAGAAGATGACATATTCTTCGCGAAAGCATCGACAATCGCCGACGGTAAAAAAGGAGAAAATTACCTTATGTGTACTATAAGAACAACATATCGATAGTAACTATGTGTGACATTTCAGAGAAACGTCCATATGACGTTTCTTTTGGACAAAATCGATATGTGAGGCTTCCCTTAACTGCAGTAAAACTATGCTTTAGGTATCTTTGAATTCTCAAAACGGAGTTAGAAATGACGCTTGATAGGAGTGAACAACATTTTTCAGTAAACCAATAATGAAAAGCAACGTGTATCTGGGATTTTCAATTGCTATCTTCTCTATGAATCAATGCCCCTCAATGCTTCAATTGTGCATAATTCCTAGATTATGTTCAAGTGTGTATAAATTGAATCTGATTTAGGCACTCCCATGGGTACTATTTGGCGCGAAGTGGGACCAGATCGTCTCAACCTCAATGCTTCAATTGTGCATAATTCCTAGATTATGTTCAAGTGTGTATAAATTGAATCTGATTTAGGCACTCCCATGGGTACTATTTGGCGTGAAGTGGGACCAGATCGTCTCAAATACATCTCGTGTGGTCCGTATGGCTGCTGGGGGATAAACAGGAATAACAATGTTTACTTCAAAACTGGCGTGAGCGCAAGTGACGCACTTGGTAAAAAATGGCTTAAGATCGACGATATAGAACAGCTCACCCAGATTGAGGCTGGTCCTGGCAGAATTGCAGTAGGCTTGCGTCCAGATGCCACAGTCGTGATCAGAACTGGCGTGACAAGAGATCTTCCTCAAGGAAAAGCATGGGAAAAACTAGACACTTCCAATATTCCTGTTAAACACGTCACAGTTTCACTTGATAAGATATATATTGTTAGCAATCTTGGTGATGTCTATGAAAGTCTTTTGGAAAAATCAGCGGATGAGGAGACGTCGGATGGGTCTGAAGGAGCAAGTTAGTGAAAGGAGCAAAATATTTCAGTTTGTTTCATATGTAGATAAAATGTCATAGGCAGTGGCATCTTTGTCGCAGCCAGAAATTATTGTACTATTTGATTTTTCTGTTTAAAGGACATTCGCAATAAAAAATTAGTTTGTCTTATTCAAAACAACTCTCAAAATCATATATTGGACTCTATTACCGATTTGTTATATCTTGCTGAGTTCTCGAAATATTCAGACCGAAATTAATGAGCTGTTCGCCATCTTGGACTAATTCTTGACCTTATTAACTATGGTTTTGATGACGTCAGGAGTTGGGTTAATCATATAAAACTACTCTAAAATGACCGAGTAACAATCCAAAATTGTTTGAAATGTTTTTAATCATTTCCAAATTTCAGACAGCAACCAGAAACGAAGATTTGGGCCCATATTGATCGCATACTCTCAAGATAAAAAATTAATGTGACCCCTCTCTTGACGTAACATGCATATCCTCAATAATCCAAGATGGCGAACAGCTCACTTTTTTCAGTTGAAATAATTTGAAAATTAACTACGATATAAACAATCTGTGATAGAGTTTAATTTATAATTTTAAGAGTTTTTTCAAATGTCCTTTAAGATCCCCATTGTTACATATTTAGTCCTTAATCTAAAATCGTGTTTGATAGTTCGGTGGCAGTGCCGTCGGGAATTGTGAACATTTCTATCCTGCCTATGACGTCATAGATTTAGGTCATTTACATACGAAACAAACTGAAATATTTTGCAAACGAAGACATATATTGAAAAAGTAGAAATAAACCACATTACCAATTTACGTCATGCATTATTCACCTCATTCCGCATGGGGACTTTTCAGTGACCGATCAAGTATTACGCTTAATACTTATAATATCTATCAAAAATATTTCGAAAACCAAGCAAGGTACGAAAAAGTTGTAAAGGGTCTTCAGATATAACTTTGAAATAAGACAAAGTTAATTTTATTGCCAATCCCTTATATGTTTATCTTAAATCCCCACCCTGTCAACTTTCCCTGTTGGAAACGGAAGCACCTGGAGGAAACCGATGATTTTCGGAAGAGAGTTAATAGGGATTGCTCGCCTTGCATTTACGGGTGATTTGGTACACAACCAAAATTATGAAATTGTACGAACCCTTATTCTTTCTGCACATCTTTACTTGTTAGAGTACGTTGAAATAATTGGCAAGCCGCCGAAAGAATTGAACGGCAAAGAAGAAATGTCTTTACCACCAGCAATTTCAGCCCAAATCGATTTTGGAGATGTTGATTTTTCAGTTGCTGGTTTTATCCAGACGGATAAGGGTGGGACCATAATCTCAAAGACCATTCCTGGCAAAGCATTTTTGCCAAACGGCAAAACTCTGTATGTTGATGCTGATGGTAAATTGGTGTTCGAAGTTGGCCTAGTTAATAACGTTCGAAGCAATAACAAGGTTAATGATGGTGATTGGCACGAATTTGGTTTGGTTCATAGTGCTGCTGAAGATAGGTTAGTAATGTATTGGGTAAATATCAAGATTTCACTGTGGAATCTCACTCGAATGAACAATGTTGAAAATGACAATGGGTATTGGGTATTGCAGATGGAAAATGTCGAGTGGAAATCTATATGCATTTGTTAGACCTGGCCAGGACTGCAAGCGAAGGTCCCTGGCAGGAATTGAACCTGCTGCCCTGCGATTAATCCGGTGCAGCGCTCTAACCAACTGAGCTACAGAGGCCAGTTGTCGAGCTCTAAACACAACTTCATGTAATATATGAACAACGAGCTCGAGAGCGAGTGTTTCACCGGGTTATCCAAACACGAGAAAACAACGTATGAAAACACGAGCGCGAAACGCGAGTGTTTTCATACATGTTTTCAAGTGTTTGGATATCCCGGTGAAACCAGGGTCTTAGCTAGAGGGCCGTGTTGGCCGTGTTATCGCGGCCAAAAGTGGAAAAACACGGCTAGATAAAATTAACGCGGCTTTAGTATTTTTATATAAGGCCGTGTAGGTTCATAAATAAGGTGTTGCTACTTACAACAGACAGAATTTCTTCCTATTTACGTCGTAAGAAAGTTTGTAAAATCTACTGTTGTTGTTGAAATTGGCAAAAGTGATCCGTGATGTTTTAATAGTTTGATGGATAATGGGAACTGTATGGTGTTAAAATGGTTTTAAATACCCCCAAGAGTTGCTGAAATAACTTAATATTTTAATGTTAGTGCGCAATATGAGCGTATGCTCGCCATGTATTCGGTTGCAAAGCATAGAACCACAACAAGCGTTGTTGGCGAGCATAACTAGAACCGTGATTTTGCTATTCAAGGTGATTGATATGTGCACGCCCTGGTCATTAGAAACACGCCCAAGATCTAAAATCCTAGCTAAGACCCTGGGTGAAACACGAGTTCGAGTTGTTTATATGGCTTCTCAAATGAATCGAGACGTAACACAATGTTTCCGTTTGCTGATTTGAATAGAATTCTTAACCATGCATAACGTAATTAGGAATTCTATTCAAGTAATTTTGCATGCGTAATAAAGATATTTGATGAAAACACTAGTGACTTTCATATGATTTTTTCTGTGTTGGTGTTGTGTACTCAGAGGAATATGATGTTTGTAATCTTTCATCAAGTTTCAGTGGGTTATCCAAAGCGAATCTTGTATTCAAATAGGTGATTATCATTGGTTGAATTGCTCATGAATGAATAATATTTTATGGAATATGCGATACAGAAAGTTCGTCATAATAATCGTCATTCAACTTCTTGTTATAATTATTCTAGAAATTACGGGAACCACTGAGTATTTTGATAAAATACAAAACAATAGATACTCCGAAAATTGAAAACATTTTGAAAATTTATTTCGACGTTTCGACTAAACTATAGTCATTATCAGGAAATGAATGATGATGATATTACATATGTACAGGTATATTTAGTGAAGTAACAAGATACGATTAGTTAAATATTAATAGCTCTTTAGAGGCTTTAGTTCCATGGTTTAGGGACGGTTTCATTCTATTAATAGGAGTATCTATTGTTTTGTATTTTAATTATTCTAGGTTCCATATCTACGTTGATCAGGCTGAAGAAAGTGAAAAAGATTTCAGTGTATCTGAAGATTTAGACGGCAGCGAACCAAGAGTTGGTTTTACATCTGAAGACTTTCCCACCCCTCGATACTTTAATGGAAAAATCAAAGACCTACGCTACTATCCAAGCGTCATTTATAAAGATTTGGCCGAACGAGGTGAGTGAACGGAGTCAAATTGAACAGGGGTGAATTTGTGAAGTTACAAAGCGGATTATAAGGTGCTTAATGTCACTGCATCAAAAAATAGCTGCAGCTCGGGGAGGGGTCTAGGTTTTCCTGTCTTGGACACCATGGACTTGGTCCTTTGGGTCAAGGGACGATGATTTGAGGACACAGGTATCGAGTGCCAAACGGGCGAGACCGCTTAGAGGGTATGGGGCATGCTCCCCCTGAAACTTGTGAAATTTATAGTCTCTGAAACATCACTTTATGTAATTTTGGGGAGGATTTTACAGAATACTGTCGGTCAGAAAACGATATAAAAATAGCAATTTTTTAAGACCTGGACTTTTAGGTTCTCTTGTTCCTACTCGACATGACTTGAATGTATGTTTGCCAAAAAATCCCCCCCCCCCACCTCCAAAACCCCAAGTTTTACACTCTATGACCCTCCCTGACCCTCCCTCCTGATAGTTAGGGGCACATCCGGTCAAACATTTGAAGATCACCACTTCCTGGCAATGATAATGCCAATGTAATTCCTTTTAGGGATCTGTATAGATATTCTGTGATAGATATTCTGTACCTTATTTTTGGCCCTTTAAGGTGGTATCAAAAGTGACACTGCATCTCCTGAAACAACTGCGGATTCTCCAGGAAATCCCGTACCAGGTAGCCCTGTGAGCACTGTGCCTGCTTTTCCTGGCCCTCCACCGTGCGCCAATTGTAAGCAGAAACAGGTTGCTGGTAAGTTTTTGGGGGATTATTTTAAGGTGATAACACATTTGTGCAGAAAACCACGGCCAGCCGACAATTTAAGAAAATATAAAAATATTGCCATCTTGAAAGTAAAGATCTGAATTAATACAAGGCGAACATTTGAAACTGTAAATCTTCGACTTTATTTCAAAAATATATATATTTACAATGAGACAACAACTGACTCGACCCACAGAGGGAAAAACACAAAATTATGTGTGAAAAATAACTCATTAATAACTCGTGCTTAAATTAGTCAACCATATTGCTATATTTTGTTCACATGATAATACTGGATACCTGGTAAAAGTATATTGATTCAGTCCTAGGACTGCATAAAAATTAATGGACCAATCCCATATTAATCAAAATTTTGATCTCAACAAGTCTAGACAAAATTCCATCACAGCTTGAAAGAGCATCACAAATTTAGTAATATTCCAAAGTTTCGTTGCGAAATGTTGTAAAATGCGGATAATATAGCCTTGCGAAATTTGCAATTTTCAGTCATTTTGTATCACGAGCGGGAAACACTTACCACTTTTCCAAAATTTTGATATCAACTATTTCATCACAGCTTGAAAGAGCATCACAAAATTAGTAATATTCCAAATTTTCGTTGCGAAATGTTGTAAAATGCGGATAATATAGCCTTGCGAAGTTTGTTAAATGGTTACCACTTCGGGAAATTTCCCGCGCGTAATACAAAATGACTGAAAATTGCAAATTTCGCAAGGCTATATTATCAGCATTTTACAACATTTCGCAACGAACCTTTGGAATATTGCTAATTTTGTGATGCTCTCTCAAGCTGTGATGAAAATTTTGTCTAGATTAGTTGAGATCAAAATTTTGATTGATGTGGGATTGGTACATTAAGTAGTGATTTATTCCTATGAGATGTCATTTCAAATCCTCCAATTCTGACTGGGCTAGATTTCAAGTCCTCACAGTTTGATCCAGTCCTCGGCTTCGTCTTGGACTTGATCAAATTGCGCAGACTAGAAATCTAGTCCTCATAGTCGGATTTAAAATATTACGTGAAAAGTTGGACGTTGAGTGTAAATAGTTGAAGTTTCTTGCTAGTCTCCAGTCTTGTGTCAAGTTGTGGTTTACTAAGTTTGCTAGTAAAACTTCAAGGAAGGCAAGAATGTTGTAATTGTTGGATTTAGTTATGTGGAGAATTCTAAAATAATTGAAGTTCTCAATAGGAGTAGGATCGTTCTTAATAGGAAGTGGGAGGTCGAGAAAATTTGAGAGAATTGATTTCGTAAGCAAATTTCTGCAGTGTCCGTAGTGAACTTTCTCCATCTAAACCACTTTTCGAACAGTCGAACATTTTACCTCGGCTTCGCCTCGGGCAACAACGGCGGTCTCGGGTCCACAAAACAGTTTCCCAGTGACATACCGGAAGCACTGCCAATCATGGACTTATGTGTACCAAACCATAAACTAACAATCACCAGGAGTGGACTTCGGTACACTGGAGCATATTTTTATAATATGTTGCCACCAGATCACTTCCAGCTCATTTCAAGCGTAAAGCCCAAGATATGTATAAAAATAACTCTTCAGATGTATGTTGATTCTAATTTGTCATACCTACAGATATGTATACTTTATGTAGTTATATGTATAGAAATGTAAATTGTACTACATGTAAATATATTTAATTATATAGTTAATTTTAGAAGGTCCAGTGGAAGATTAGGGAAATCTAGACTGGCATATTTCCTTGTAAATTAACCTTCTTTAAACAAACTTTTAATAATAATAATGTCTTACAACGTTTAATTTCAGCTCCGCTCGACATGGTATTTATTGTCGATGGTTTTGGACTTGTGGGCTCCCAAACATTTAAGGTTTTGAAAGACTTTGTGAAACAAATCATACACGCATTCATTATTTCAACTCAATCTACTCGTGTTGGCTTCGCCCAAATAACAGAGTCAGGTCACGTTGATTTCAATCTGGATGAATACAGCGACGTACAGGAGTTGGACGATGCGATTGATGCGATTCCGCTGAAAGGTGGGGACAAGAGATTGGCTAGACAGTCGGTTGCAATAGCTTATACATCCATTTTCCAAACGACTGGCCGTCGTGGTTTGGTTCCGAGAGTGCTGATCACCGTCACCACTGGAAAATCCGAGGATGACGTTGGATTAGTGGGTCAAGATTTGCGGAAACAGAAAATAGTTTCGATTGTAGTGAGCGTTGGTGAAAATGTGGATAAGCCTCAAGGAATTCAACTTGCAACAACTCCTGAACACAGCTTCGCTCCAGATGATGTTGCAAAGTTGCCACCTGTTGTTCAAGATGTTGTCGAAAGGATTAACAAAGGTATTGTGTTTTTTTGTTGTGTTTGTTTGGGTGCTTGCGTTGTGTTGTGGCAAAATATCGAGGCCCCTTTGGGAAAACTCTGACCACTACAAGCATGTGCATTATATTTTCATTTCCTCTTATGGAAATTTTATATCTATCTATGTTTTATATGTTCTGGATTCGTGTGATTAATTAAGCAGGTCGAACCGACCTGACCGCGTAGCTCAGTTGGCAGAGCATTGGGCTAGTATTCCAAAGGTCGTAGGTTCGATTCCCACCGTGGCCAGGCATATTTTTCAAGCCTGCCCGGTGTGGATATACACTCAGAGTAACATCACAAGCATCTTAAGTAGATTTGTTATGTAGACTTAAGATAGCTTTTAATCGTATGAAGGAGCATAACTGCATAAGAAATTGTCAAATTACTAATTAGTCATATTACCAGTTCGAATAAACATTGTTCAGCTGACCACAGTGCAAAGACCAGAGTTTTAAAGTTTTAAACAATTACGCGAAACGGCAACATTTCAATCATTTTTTTTCAACAGAACAACCAGTGTTTTGGAGCACTCTAGGTAGTGATTTTCAATTTTCGACATCTCTCCCTTAATTCATTTAGATCTATTTTAATCAATTATTATAACAGTGCTCTCACACATAATTTTCGGAACATGTCCAAACGATTAACATGCTGTTTCTAATTATTTTTTAAATATAGACGGCTGGCCATGACATCATTTTGTACAACTTGATGGCAACTTTATGTTAGAAGCTGGTAACAGGCATTTGCTTATAGTTCAAGCCTTGGTAAACAAGACTATATGTGTTACCACTCCTGATTTTTTCTTTATAGCCAAAAATTTGAGAATTTTTAAATTTTGCCTATTAAAATACGACTGTATGATGGCAAAAATGGTAAAATTCATGTCCTCTTATACGAAAAATAAACTACACCACTAGAAAGATCGCACAAAACTATATATAAGACAATTAAGCGAGTTCTACGTTTTTCGAATCCTATTTCGAGATTTAATGCTAAAAAATACGGAAATGACCAAATTAGTGCTAATAAGTACCCATTTTGCCAACTTTAACCATCTTTAATTCAAAATCGGCTTGAAAAATCGCACTAGTCGCTTGATTGTCTTATATAGGTTTTTTTTCGATCTTTCTAGTGGTATAGTTTATTTTTCCTATAAGAGAACATGAGATTTTACATTTTTGCCATCATAGTAATTTAATAGGCAAAATTTAAAAAGTGTCAAATTTTTGGCTATAAAGCAAAAAGCAGAAGTGGTAACACACACAGTCTTGTTTACCAAGGCTTGAACTATAAGAAAATGCCTGTTACCAGCTTCTAACATAAAGTTGCCATCAACTCTGTTTAGAGGCACTTTTTGCCACCTTGGCCAGCCGACTAATATTTAGTTTCAGCTGTTCGACTCGTTGTAATTGGCTAATTGCTGTTGCAGTATTCCTGCCACGTTTTCTCTATATCTTTATTTGTTATCCATGCATGTGACTTGTCATTTTTCTTTCAATGTATATTTGTAATTGTAACTTTTTCCTTTTTTGGCAAACCTAGTCAAATTAAATTAAATTAAATTAAAATAAAATTCCCTTTTATTTTTGCTGAAGTTAGTAAAATTATATCAAGGGGTTCAGCTTACATGTACAGGGTGTATAAAAAAAAACGCAACCTCGTAATTTCCCAAGAAATCGACATTGTCTTAAGGACAGAAGATTTTAGATGCATGGGAATTTAAAATAGCACAACTGTCAACATTACTGCACAAGCGAGTGCATAAATTAAAGCAAAATTTATGCATTTATTTAATGACACTTAATTAGTTTTTATTGTACAAGTACAGTACAACAACAGTAATATGATTCATTAGCAATTCGATTTCAATTTCCAGAGGCCTAAAATCTTTTATGCTTAAGAATTGCAAAGTGGATTTCTTAGGAAATTCCGAGGTTGCGTTTTTTTCATTTTTTTTTCATACACCATGTACTGTAGTTCAAATTCTAACAATGGCTTGATTTCTAAAGGTCTACGCCCTATATTGTGTTACATTCACTTGTTTCGAAACTTTAATTTAATTTAAAACTTTAACATCTCCCAAAAGGGCTTTTCAGATATTAATTACAAATGTGCTAAACGAAGTCAATATTAATGTTAATAGATAACTCGTTAAAAACTAAGAGTCGTTTAAAAATTCTTGAAAGAGATATGTTTTTAATGCTATTTTAAAACATTGCAAATTCCTCAAATTGTTCCCAGATTTAACATTGTCAGGCAAGTCATTCCACAACTTTACTGCTCTGAACAAAAACGAGCGTTGACCTGTCGCTGTTCGATAAAAAGGTACATTCAGGGTATCCTTGTTTCTTGTGACGCGTTCATGTATACGCGATCTTGTAATGAACCTTTCCGTTAAATATTCAGGAGCGTAGCCATTCAAGCATTAATTTGTATGCCAACAGTGGCCCAACACCGTATCTCTGAAGCGTAATGTAGCATTTACAACGAAGTTCTTTTAATAATGGCGTGATATGATCAAACTTTCTCGAATTCGTAAGAATGCGCGCAGCGAAATTTTGCACATTCTGTAAAGGCCCTGTCACACTATTGCGTATGAGAGAAACGTACGAGAAGCGTATGGAAATTAATGAAATAATTTTCATACGCACAAAAATCCTTTGAAATGCCAGTGCATGATACCGTACATCTGGCGTACCTCTAGCGTATTCAGCGAGTATGCTTATCGTATAAAGCATACGTCCGATACACACAAAATTTTTGAACATGCTTAAAAAAAATTTTCTGCTTCGCCGTATGCCAGCGTATGCCACCGTACGCGACCGTGCTTGAAACGTATACAACCTATGCCTAACGTACCCCTAGCGTATGAGTGATATTTTTCATACGCTGGCATACGCTAGTACGATACGCAATAGTGTGACAGCCTTAACTTAAACCTTGATCAAATACTATTTTCAACTGTTTTTTATAATCTAGATCTTGGTATGACAGCTGGTAAAGTTCAATCAACCGGAGGACTTCCTACTGGTGCTGTTTCTGGTGCAGCTGAACCCGGGAAAACACAGGGTCTTGGTGGAGGTGATGAAATACCCAGGACTCCACCTGTAACCGGATCGTCTGCTTCTGATGGGCCTGGAATAATACATTGTAAGTAGGAAAAAGTTTGCATTTCGGGGCTTTGAAAATAGTTGCGGTTTAATTTCACGCGTGTTTTCAAAGTCTGCGAAACGTTGAAAACACGCGTGAAATTAAACGTTAATTTTACTCGGCCCCATACTTGCACTAATTACTTTAAAATTCGATAAAATTTATCTATTTTCAGTATTTTTGTGTCTTATAAAACAAATAATGATTGTCTTCATTCGTGTAGTAGTAAACGGTTTATTCAAATAAAATGATAATGTTTTTTACCACTGCATAAACATTCATTATTTGTATATTATTATTGTTTATTGCAGTGTTAGTATAGGTAATCATGCGAGGGCGACTTAGGGATTAATAATACTCGTGATGTTTGGAAATTTTGCCAAAATTGGACGAGCTGCCGGGGCAAGTCCAATCAGCACCAATTTAAGGGTGGGCCACAAATTTTCGTGCAGCTAATTAACATGACAAAATCGGGTAATTCTCGATGTTAATATCATATTCTCTCGCCAAATTAGCCCAGTTCTGGCAGACTTTCAAGCAAAGTTTGGTGCTTTTGTTCGTATTTTCATTTAGTTCTTTTGCCCTAAGTTCCCCTATAGGGCATTTTCGTTTGTGTGACCAGAATTTTTCAGCAGTCATTACCAAAATGTTGTTCAAATTTTACTAAATTAAGAAAAATGTTACCAAAATTTGACTTCCCAAATAACTACGTCATAATATGCCAAAAAAATAGTTGCGTCATCAAAGTAGAAAAAATGCACAAAAAGGTTTCTCGAAATACTTGTTGAGTACATCGTGTTGCAGTTTTTGCTAATGATAAGGCTTTATTTCTGAGGCTTGGCAGTTCCGTTCATCACTTTGAGCACGTTAATAACGAGAAAAACACATTTTTTACCAACATGATTATTAATAATTAAAACCTTTCAGCTTTTACCAAAAAAAACTTGTTACCAAACTTTCTCGAAAATTCACGAAAATTCACGAAAAGTAAAACTTTTTACCAAATCTGGTCACACTTGAGTAATTTCGCCATTTTGTTTGTTTTGGCAAAATCATTAATTGTACTGTGCAGTACAATTAATGAAATAATTGTACTCCTCTCTACCTATCAGCATCGAGTAATTTTGTCATGCTAATAGTAAATATACTAATGATGATTTGCATTTATAGTGTTGATGCCAACGATTTGCAAAGGTCCTGTGGATATCACGTTTGTCATTGATGGCTCTGCTAGTGTGGAATACAGCACCCAAGGAGGCTTTAAACGCACACTCGAACTTGTCAAGGAATTTTCAAACAACTACATAATTGGACCACAAAATGCAAGATTTGGTTTGCTTATTTTTGCTGCTGAAGCTGAGACTGCTTTTAAATTTGACAGCCATCTCACGAAAGCGTCACTTTTGAAAGATATTGAGCGAATTCAGTTTCCTCAGACAACTTCATTTCTGGGCAAAGGTCTTCAGGAAGCAAAGGATGTGGTAGGCTTTCGGATTTTTTAAAATGTTGTAGATTTGCACGGTGATAAATTACAGGGAATTTATGCTCTGTCGTGCCTGGTTTGGGAAATTTGTGTACTAGTACAAGACCGGGTGGAAATAGGGGAAATTTGGTGGAAATGGTGGGAGAGGTGGAAAAAATGTAGGGGAGGTGCAGCGGCCTAGCGCACGACCCCCATTGGAAGTTAGAGCTTAGAATGGGCCAAAATCAACGACATGACGTGTACATGACTGTACAACTCATCCAATTTTGCCCTTCATTACAATTACTACAATGTTTCTTTCAAGACATTCCATTAAAAGGATACATGACACAGAGATGAATGGCTATTATTGTTTCAATTTTACCGAAAACTTTCTTACGAAGTGTAGACCCTAAGCAACCACAAAATGTCAAATTTTCACGTTGATCTATCATTGAAACTTTCCCAAGGGGAGGCGCATGACTTTTCAGGGAAGGTGGAAAAATTCTCAGGGGAGGTGCAAAACGATGTCAGGGGAGTTGCGCACCTCCGCACACCTCCCCTCATATTTCTCCGTTTTACGTGGCACTATACCATTGGCTTAAAAAAAGAATCGCTTCTGAAAAGTAAAACATATTATTTTTGAGATTTTACAGTATCATGGGATTTTACAGTATCACAGTTTTAAAGGACATTGGCAATAAAAAATAGTCTGTCTTATTCAAAAGAACTCTTAAAATTATATATTAAACTCTATTACCGATTTGTCATATCTTGCTTAGTTCTCGAAATATTTAGACCCAAATTAATGAGCTGTCCGCCATCTTGGACTAATTCTTGACCTCATTAACTATGATTTTGATGACGTCAGGAGTTGAGTTAACAATACAAAACCACTCTAAAATGACCGAGTAACAATCCAAAATTGTTTGAAATGTTTTTAATCATTTCTAAATTTCAGGCAGCAACCAGAAACGAATTTTTAAACCCATACTTATCGCTTACTCTGCAGATAAAAAATTAGCGTGACCCCTCTCTTGACGTAACATGCATATCCTCAATAATCCAAGATGGCGAACAGCTCACGTTTTTCACTCGAAATATTTTGAAAACGAAGCGAGAGATGAACAATCTGTAATAGTGTTTAATATATAGTTGTAAGAGTTCTCTCAAATGAACTAAACTATTTTTTATTGCCAATGTCCTTTAAGCATGCCTAATTGATGTTAACGCTTCGCTTGACAGTTGCATATTTGTGTAAGTGTTCTTTTACAATACGATAACCATGGGCAAGAATCTTCACTGTTTTTTTTCAGTTAGACATGTATTTTACAGAAATATATCTACCTATCATCAGGGAATATACACATGTTTTTTTTCTGTGTTAGTGTAATGTACTCGGGTGAATATGATGCTTGTGATGTTACTCTGAGTGTGTATCCACACCGGCCAAGCTTGAAAAAAATGCCAGGCCACGGTGGGAATCAAACCTACGACCTTTGCAATATTAGCCCAATGCTCTGCCAACTGAGCTACGCGGTCGGTCGGTCGGTTCGAGTATGTGATATTTCGGAACCGAATCTAGTTCCTTCGATATCAATGCATTTCCATATACTCGAACCGACCTGACCGCGTAGCTCAGTTGGCAGAGCACTGGGCTAGTATTCCAAAGGTCGTAGGTTCGATTCCCACCGTGGCCAGGCATATTTTTCAAGCTTGCCCGGTGTGGATACACACTCAGCGTAACATCACAAGCATCATACACATGGTTACTTTAAACAAAATTATTGTGGGATTTTTAAAAGCTGGAAATGCATTTTCCGGGTGGGGGGAATTTTCTGGGTGGGGGGAATGGCGTCAGTCTCCCCCCCCCCCCCAACCCATATGCCTGATGAAGACACTGGACTGGAGTGTCGAAACGTTGGGCCTTTTACAAGTAGTCATATCGAGTGTAGTTGCCCCAAATCCTGACATGTAAAAAAGTGTCGGCGGAGTAGTACTCTCGGGCCTCATAGACATCACTGAAATATTTTCAGATTCTTCCTGGTAGAAGAAAGAATGTTCCTCAAAAGATGATTGTAATCACGGACGCTCTCAGTCATGATGATCCTTTTGTTGCTGCTGCTCAAATCAAAGAAATGAATGTGGAGATATTCGCAGTTAGTGTTGGTATTCGATCCAATAAGACTGTGTTACAGTCAATTGTCTCTCAACCTGCCGAAAAACACTTGTTCTCGGCCAAAGATAGCTTGGCGAACCTTCTTAATGCTGTTAAGCAAGGCACATGTAAAGGTACAGTGGAACGATGACCTCCAATAATATACCAGCCTTTTTGACGTAAACTGACTTTGTTTTTGTACTGGATAGCCTTGTCAGTTCTAGGTCCAGTGAATGTCATCTCTCAGTAGGTCCAACCAGAACTTAAAATGGCTACTTAATCACCCATCTTGTTTTAGGCCGGCGAACGACGAATTTCGCCAGCGCTAAGAAGACATTTCAACAGCCATTCGCCAGAGGCTGTGTGTAATTCGCCGGTACTTGCAGTCATGACAAGCTGAAATTTTTAGCCCAGTCTTGCACTTGGACAATATACCAAATAGACAAAGCTTGCAAGCCTTTGCCCACCACTCAACTCACAACGCCCTTGAAGCTTCGACCTTCCAACCTTTACATACTCGCTTCGCTCATCAATTATAATAGCCGGAGCCTGAGTAGAGCAAAACAGTATTTGCTATACCCAACCTATTATTAGCCAGGACTTCAAACGTATACCTGAAGGGCTCAGACAGCTTAATCTTGTGCATTCATTTTTTTCGTAGCTCCTGTTTTGGGGCCACCTACACCGATATCAACTGGTCCTGTTTCTCCACCAGCTCCAAATTCCCAACGTAAGTTTATTAAAAAGCATGTGTCTAATTTTCTGAGCTACAAGGTCAAGTCTGTTCGACTAGTTCATATTTTGGACTTGACTTTACCATAGTTTCTTCTTAGATATAGACTTAATATCGAAGAAACTGATTTCCATGGGGAAAATACTTTACTTTCTTGTACCGCAATAGAAAATTGAAACGTTCTGCGAATAATTAAGTAAATTGACACTCCGACCCCGTAACATAGCACATTTACAAGTCGTGAAACTGAATGTCATCCTATATTTTAATTTAATTAATAGAAGAAAAAAAATTAACAGAAAAAATGAATAGAAAGAATGTTACCTGTACTACAGGGTGTATAAAAAAAAAAGGCAATCGAACTTCAGCGCGCTATTGTATCTGAATTACTCTGCGTATGAACGATATTTTTTCACGTTCGGAAAGATCATGCTTTTAGCTGTGGAATGATATCTTCTTCATGCCAATAAAAAATGTTCATCCGATAAAAAATGTTAGTCAGAATCGCATATTTTCACCGTTGAGAGTTGGGTCTAAAACCATTGAAAATGAACTCCCTTGAGGACTTAAGTTGATTAATTTCACTTCATTAAACTGCACACATATTCATAAAAATTATTAAGTCGGAATAAATCTACGACACGTTCGTGATTAATTGCTTTTTCTTTTGTTATGCATTGTTTTAATTAGGCACAGAGGTGAAAATATGCGATTTTGACTAACATTTTTAATCGGCCTCGTACATGCTTATTTTTTCTCCATGCCATGAAAAGCATGTCACTCAATAGCTAAAAGCCTGATCTTTCCGAATATGAAAACCAATTGTTCATACGCCGAGTAATCCACGTATAATAGCGCGCTGAAGTTCGATTACCTTTTTTTTTATACACCCTGTATAGCGTTATAGAAACACGGGATTTTTCGCTTTTCAACCAATCAGCGCAGGCGTTATTAAAAGGTTATTTTATATAAAAATTTATATATATTCGAATATATATATATATATATATATATATATATATATATATATATATATATATATATATATATTCGAAAATTTTGAGAATTTTAAAAAACAACATTAAACGAAGCAATCAAAATCAGGTTTAACGAGCAATCAAAAGTAAGTTATTGTCAGGAAAACTTTAACAAATACGAAAAATGCGGTAAATTCTAGAAATGTACAGTATTAATAACAAAAATTTAGTACTTTCAACAGTTTCAACTTTAGAACCTCGACTTTTGACCCTCGACCTTGATTCTCGATTTTTGACCTTCGACTATAATACTATAATCTAAACAATGTGATACCTTGCAACATGTTACCCTAACAAATGCCTTCCATAAATAACTATCGTCAGTGGAGGAGACTGCAAACAACAACTGAAAATTGTTTCCTTCTGATTTTGTCAAATCATCAAGACTGCAAGGACAAAATATAATACAAAAACACGCAATTATTGCAATATATAACAAAACATTTACAGGCTCCATCAATCTAAAAATGCCTCTTATGACCTCTATATATTGTTTTCCCATGGAATGACTGGGATGTCTACTGTAATGCAATGTACATTACAAGAATGCTTGAAAAGTGTGAGGATAATAGGCGAGGATAATAGACTTTTGTTTCTGGGCGTGGCTTCAGGGCACCCCAAGATACCCTAGGTACCCTAACATACATGTACTGTATGGATTATTTATTACAGTATATAAGTCTTGGTAAATTTACACATACCGTACATGTAGTTGGTTCAACTCAAAATTAAACAACAAAATTTTGTTTAAGACACTGTAATGAAAAAACCTGATCTTTACTGGCCCAGTAGGAAAAAGTAGTAATGCACGAAAACGTTTTTTCGGTTTTGGTAATTCTTTAATCATTTGAATGCATGCATATTTGATACGGTTACCATTGAATAAATTAGAATATTGGTATAATATGAGACTTATAAATATGTACAATCAGGCACGGATTTTCTGGGGGGGGGGGGGGGCACCAGAAATGCCCCCCCCCCCCCCAGAGGCATTTGGCACCGCCCCCCAAAAAGTTTTTGCACCCCCTCAAATTATACATATTTTGATTTGATATTTTCCTATTTGGTTATTCTTATTACTAAATTTGTAAAATTACTAATATTATGGTCTCAGATGCCGCCATGCAGGCCTAGAAAACAAGTTTTGTTAAACATTTTCCTTGGCCTTTCTGGACGTTGCCACCTGGCCCCGGCCAAAGCAAGCAGCAGCACCCCCCAGATATTTATCCCCCCCACCCCCCGAACGAAAATATGAAAATCCGTCCCTGCGTACAATGAGAATGCAGTACAGGCAATGTATTTAGACTTACATTATATTCAACTCCTCAACAGCTTCTGAATATAAAATAACATAAGATAAAACAAAACATTACAACAGGAACAATAATTATAATAAATAATATACATGTAACAATGTTTTTGCCACATCACAGAATACTTTCTCTGAGAACAAAGTTTTGGAAACGTCGAAAAATTTTAACCTACAGTAAAAGCTGTTGAGCACACTCAATGCTGAAAATACATATTAGTGCTGGCATTCAATTGGTTAATCTGACTACCTTCGCACCCTAATGTGCCCCACTTTATTATTTCAGTCTAATGAAGACGATTTTACTTATCAAGGGGAGAGCGCTAGCCCACAATGGGTTAAATGTTACAATGGGAGAAAAATATCAGTTTTTAATAATGCAAACATTGTTCATGGGAAGTGCTTTTGTATTGTACTGTATTTTCACACTTGTTAAATAAATCTGTTTTCACAAAACTCACTCACTCACCTCGCTTGTTCACTTGGTGAAAACAAATTAATGTGTTAACTCATGCAGATTGTGAAGTCTCGTTCCCACAAACTGCTCAAATTAATATGTACCTATAAACACCTTAAGTTAACATGCACTTCCCATGAATTGCTACATGCTGTAGTTTTTCTCTCAAAATTTCCATCCACAAAAAAAGTTGTGTTCACAATCCGATGAACATTATTCCTGATGTACAGGTATGTCAATAATGTCACTGCATATATTTCTGATTCTACAGAGATTTTTGCAGATGATATGAAATGTTATAAACAAATTTCTTCTGTAAACAATGCTATGAATCTACAATCGGATTTGGATTGTCTTGGTACTTGGTCAGAGCATTTCTCCTTAAAATACTGTCCTTTACTTTTTACAGAAAAAACAACAGGATTTCTTTTCCTTGTAACTGATAGGACTTTACATTTGTTGGTATTAAAACTTAATTAGGCACCCGCATTTATATTCAGCTCGTTTGTAGCAAGTTTGCTTATGCAAGTCATGTTTGGTGTCCTCAATCAATCGGTTTAATTCAAGATATTGAGAAAGTCCAAAGAAGAGCTACTAAATATATTTTGATGTTGGCATTCACCTCTGATGTATCATACAAAATCCGCTTGCAAAATACCAAACTAATCCCAGTCTCATATTGGTATGAATTTTTAGATCTTGTCTTCATGTACAAACTTGTTCATAAATTAGTTGTTATCGATGATGATGTTCGTCCGACGATTTCAGTTATGAGGTCTATGAGAAGTTCCCCCGTAATTGCGGAAACCTGTGACGCATACAGTACCCTAGTATCAGCAGGCCTCGAAATAAACCTGGAAGGTACACCGGTCATCATGACCAGTGTATTATTAAATTTGCCGGTCAAGATGGATGTTTGGCCGATCATCTTTTGATTTTCGTATTTTAAGTGAACTTGTGCAGATATCCTGAATTTTGAATAAAATGCCCGCTATATTCAATTGGCGAGAATTACGAGAAAAGATTTACAAACAGACGAAACAAAGAAAAAAATGTGTATTAATATTAATTATTGAACAAAATACAAAAAATTATGTATTAATATTAATTATTATACAAGTTACAAACTGTTGCTTATTGTCCTTTAATTAAAAAATGTGGTCACCGCACAATTTATGCAAGAATACTTAGTGTTTGGACGTTGTCGCACAACAATTCTTTGCCATATCATACCATATCTGCCAGGAAGTTTCGATGACAAATGTATTTGAGTTGCGAGCGTATGCGTTAGGTGCAATGCCTGCGTTGAAATTGACAGGCGAGACTTCCGCTTTTCTCGGTAAACACGAAATTGTGGGAAACAAAAATTCGCTCTGGAACGCATTTCTACATTAGAAAAATTCGCCGGTCATGCGTCTCCGGTAAGAGACAGTATTTGCCGGTCAAAATGAAAAAAATTACCGGACAATGACCGGTGACCGGCACTTATTTCGAGGCATGCTAGTATGTTGTACTGAAGTTTAATAAATCATAAATCAAGCTGTGCGAAACATGAGATTATAATATTATTATAAATGTAAAAAACATGAGATTATAATATTATTATAAATGTAAAAAACTATTGAGCAGTCTTCTCTTTTTAGTTAATCAGCTTTTTGTTTTTGACTTTTACATGCAAATCTCGGTAGTCCTGATGACAACTGAAGAATTTTTCAAATGCTGGCAAACGACAATTAGCTTATTCTCAGCTCAGTTGATAAAAACAAAACTACAGTCTGTAGTCTTGTTTTTTTAGTTTAATTAATAGCAGCAAATATTTACATTTATAATAATTACTATCTCATGTTTTGCACAGCTTCCTGCGTAGGCTGCCATGCTTGTTGCCAGGTTGGTTGAAAATCACTTTTAATATTATTTTTCATTCATTATAATTTGCCATAGAGACTCAGAAAGGATCGTACACTGATTTATACTATCTTGTATGTCTCCGGGCGCTCTCACACGTCCCCGGGCACTCTCACATGTACCTGGGTGCTCTCACACGTACCCGGGCACTCCGGGCAGTATTTACTAGGAACCAAACTCCAGTGTATATACAAATGAGTATATTATCCATTGTGATTCTGCAATGCATATACCAATAACGAAGTTCTCATGGGAGATTTTAATTTTAAACACATTTGCTTACCAGAAAACATAGAGAGATCAAGGGGGTTATATTAAGGTTCACAGCTATAACCTATATAGGTTTGCGTCTTGCTATGAAAGGTACAAGACGAATGAAAATTGAAACTAGGGATCCAAGGATATAGTGCAGAGTTTCAAAGATGAATGCTATAAGACATGCTTATTAATTGAATAGCTTTTCAAGCGTGGTTTATAGCTTTAATCACATGTTGATATGACGTAGTAGCGCGCGAACTGTTACAACAGTAAAATGCTAAGATCTGGTTTAAATCTAATACTTTACGATTAAAGAATGACGAGAGTTATGTAATATTATTTACTTCCCCATTGAAAGTATTAGTGACAAGGCACAGAAACACAGAAACGTAAATAAGAGGCGAAAACAACTCATTAAAATGACGCATTTTATCCATAACCGTTCCGCATTTTATCACCATATCCGTTCCATGGATCCGCATCCTCTTCCGCATTTTAACCTAATTGTGACGTGTTCACAATAACAAGTCTCATTGACCTTTTTACTTATTTTGAAGGTCACGTTGTTGTTTCATGAGTCATTTTCAGTTTTTGCATGTATTCAATAATGTCACTTTAGATTTCAATAGTTTCACAGTTATAGCAGTGTTTATATAGCAGTTTTGACAAGCTTTGATACAGATAGATTCTCGTAAGATCTGGTAGAGATTCTCGTTGCACTGAACACGAGTTTGCACCATTGTGCTAGACACATAAACAAAGATTTTCTCAATATTTATGTCTGAAATGTTTATACATTTGAAAACAACACTGTCTCGCTGCTTTCTAGCTCTGTATAATGAATATACCGTCAAACTAATATCGGCACTTAATTGAGCGCCTGTAATGCAAAACATCAATTTATATATTGCGTAGAATCTCTCAATATAGAAGATTTTCTCAATATTCATGCCTGAAATGTTCATACATTTCAAAAAGACAAAACTGTTAAGCCTAGCTTTGTATATTGAAATTGAATATACCATCAAAATAATATCGGTACACTTAAATTGAATACCCGTAATGCATAAGGCGAAAAAAAAACACCTGTGGTTCCGGTTCCCGACCGACCCTTTTTTTTTGTGCCGACTCTATTATTTTTTCAACGCGATTGACCGTGCGACACTATTTTCTCCGGGTGGTTGCAGGCTGCTGCCAAAATGGTGTCTGTTATCGCACTAATTATTGAAAAAACCATGAAAAAAATATTTAAAAAAAAAATTATTTCCGACCTACCGACCCTAATTTTTTCGCGATATGAAACCGGAACCACAGGTATTTTTTTTTACGCCTAACTCATAACATCAATTTATATATTGCATAGATTCTCAAAGATTTACTCGATATTCATGTCTATAAGAATGTTTATAATTTGAAAACAACACTGTCGGCACTCGGCAGTGTCGCTCCTTCCTACTAGGCACCGTCATGTCATTGTGATCTACGGCTTGATAGCGCATGCACATTTGCGCTACTAAAGAAAAAATGGGTGTTCCGGGGGAAAGATCCTTCGCACAACACGGAGAAGCGAATGTTATAAAATTGTCAAAAATTTACAATAACGACAAGATTCCTGGAAATTTTTGTGAACTTGGCAAAAGGACAAAATAAGGGCATGTAGTAAAACACTGACTACCGGAACACCACCGGAACACCACCGGAACACCACCTAACCCCAACCCCAAACAAAATGGTGGTGTTCCGGTGGTGTTCCGGTAGTCAGTGTTTTACTACATGCCCAAAATAAGTATTTAAATAAGACAACTGAAATTGCCTAAATAACCTTCAAAGCACTAAGTACAATAAATCACCACGAAGATAAATCGTATACACCCCCCCCCCGGAAAGTTTACCTATGATATCTGATATATGACTACAGTTTCAAAGAAACTCTGCACTAAAAATCACATCAAATAGATCCAACTTACTTATTAAACCATCATAAGTGAGCCACGTTAAATCCCTAAGAGTTACAGCATTATCCTGAACTACTTTAAATGTCTTTGCGTATTTTTGACCCATCAAGTTTTCATAAAAACATTAGAAATACTCACTTCACAGCCACCAAAACAGCCGCCATATTTCTGTGACGCGTATGTATTGTTTTCATTTTAATGCTTCCACTTGCAGAAAATTACTCATGCATTTTTTATTTTTTATCTTTCAGGGAATTTCCGGGTATGGGGTAAAGGCTGATTTCCACTGTTGTATACGCACGTAAAACTTTAAATCCGTTTAAATGTTACTTATGAAATACCCAAATAAATAAAGCAACAGAATTTAGTGTTCCGCAAGTTTTAGCATGCATTTGTTAACTTATTTGTTAAATTCCAAAAAAATAGAAGGATTCAAAGTTTTACGTGCGTACGAAAAAACGCAACAGTAGAAATCAGCCTTAACGCGTGCGCTTATTTTTCTGACAAATCAGCCAAAGTCGAAATCAGTCTCCAATGTTGAATCTCAAAACCATCCCAAATCTAACTGAACAGACACACTTTTCGAATGAAAGTTAGTCGATGTCGAATGTGTGGCCATTGCCGAATGTGTTGAACACAGTGGCAAAACTAGGGAATTCATGTTTTCGGGCAAACAGGAAATTCATGTTTTCGGGCAAATTGATACGATTTTGTAGGGCAAATGTTGAAAATAACCAAGACCAGGTATAATGTAGTTGGATCAGACTTTTCACTCGTTCAGGCTATTTGTGACGATCGCCCAACGAAGACATATTTTAGACAGCTGCGCCCTCATTTTCGCCAGCGAGCGTCTGTGACGTCAACATTTCGAAAAATTGAAACCATAGAGAATCACTTGAAATTGCGTAATCTCTCAAAAATTTGCTGGGTTTATCAAAGCGATTCTATCGAAGCTGTTTGGCGGTCTTTTCAAGCTAATAAAGATGCACTCAAATCAGTGTTCCAGCTGGAGAAGGTAGACCAAGCAACCAAGACAAAAGCTTTAAAAGCTAATCCCCTCCACGATAATATGCTTATATTCGAGTTTATCTTCACACTAATGTTGATGCATCAGATAATGAGAAAGACCAAGATTTTGACAATAGAACTGCAGAAAGAAGAGCTCAATATAAATGCTCTAATACTGGAAGAAGGCACTGTTGATTCCTTGAATGCCGTTCGACAAAGTGAGTCAGAGATGAACGATCAATTTAAAGTTAAGCATTCAATTTGCTATTTGGTACAGACCCAGAGATGGAATTTGATCGTCACTACAGGCCGAGAAGGATGACCAGAAGACAAAACGACAACTCAACTTCTGCAACAATTGCCTTCTAGGCCTGCTTTTGAAGGTTAATGATAGAAGTGCTCGATTCCCTCATCACCGAGTAGAACGAGAACGTACATCAGTGCCTGCATGAGAAAATCAAGCCACTGCCAGACGTTCTTCGGCCCCCATTGCAGATGCCTGAGAATGAATATCGGAACTCTTTCCACCATCGGTTTCATTAAGGTGACAGAACACCTTCGAGTGTTAATTTTGCCTAAATTTTTTTTATTGGTTTCCATGAAAGCACTAGATTAGTTCTACTATCTGACCAAATTTGAACAAAAAATGTTGAAAACTCGCAGAGTTATTTAATAAAATACATTTCGCTTGCAGTAAGAAAAACATTGAAAATGTAATATTCAAATTCAATTTTCTCCCGAAGAATTTTACGGCAATTAGTGATTTTCAAACGAGTTGTTCTCCTGCGGGTTTTAACGAATTTTTCTCAAATTTTCACAGGACATAGCTAAAGACATCAGTTTCAAAATCGTGTTTGGCTTTGTTCTAATTTTGGATATTTTAATAATAAGGAGCAATTCACTCAAACGATTCAGAAATATATTGCAGTCGTCAAAGGAATCGCCATATCAGCGGAATGACGAAATAAACAAAAATTTCCGAACAGAATTTTTTAGAACAACTATTTTACTGTATAAAAATGATATTCTCATAAATATATCTTAAAATCAGCCGGAACATAACTCAAAAGCGTAATAATTCTTACATTATTTTATTGTTTGTCAATTTTACAACTTTACCATATTTTGCATGTACTGGCTAACATTCGATTCGTTCAAAACTTTATAGGGAACACATCGAGCAGACGAGCACGACAAAGCACCAAGTACGATGTCGAAATCAAATCTTAGGATGTCGTGGTCTGGCGATTATTCATCACTACAGGAGTTCGTTGAAGACAAGTTGTGTTTAGTTGGAAAATGGTCATCTATTGGGGGCGAAAAGAAGCAGTTCGAGGGGGGAAATATTGTGATAAATTGGTGGAAAAACAAAAAATATTTGGCAATCTCCGGCGAGAAGGCAAGTGATATTGTATGTAGATTAACAACATTGTTTACCGACACTTATATATTCGACGATCATTGCACTGCCGCAGTTGATGTTGAGAATCCGATTAACAATAACTGTTCTTGTTTGCGTGTGGAATCTACTGTTGAAACGGAATGCATGAAAAAAACCCTGCAATGTTGTGGAAGCCGCAAATGCTGCAATTAACCCAAATATGACAAATATTGGCGGCCAAATATGCCATTGTAAATGTAAAGAACTGTCCACGGATTTTGAGGGTATAAAACTTGACCTAGTGGTCAATGAAAGGATTATTCTTGATAACACTTCCCGTATTAGCAAGGTCGAAGGTTTATTGGCGAGATTTCAAACCGAAAACGAAGAAATGAAACGCCAATTAAGTAGTTTTGAAGCAAAAATCACTGAGCCGTTAAATCAAACATGCATACATCAAACACTCGAGCCTCATGTTGACCTTGAAAATAATACGAGAGCCTCTAGTTCTTTACAATGTCTGGATAATATGACTGAATTAAAAGAGGCAGAAAGTTTTGTAAGTGTTGAAAACCCGCTTGAAGATGCTTCTTTCAGTGGTGAGGGTCTTGGTAATAATAGCGTTATTGTATGCGAAGTTTTCACTGTTGATGACAATGAAAGATTATTAATAGAAACTGAAGAATTATCTGTTGGTCCAGATAATAAGCGTAACAAAGCCCTAGAAAATTGTTCATTATTAAAAAACCCAAGTTATTTCCATCGTTCAAAAAGCGGCTTATATAGGACAAAGGTCAAAGGCCACGGGGGTCCATCACCTAAACTACATGACGCAGCAGAGTAATTTGGTACAGGGTAGAATAGCTAACAACCAACCCATTTCAACTCGAATCACTAGAAGAGAGGAACCGACGAAAGATCGACGAAAAACTAGTCTGAGGCGGAAAAAAACAAAATCTTCATGTGAGCAGGTTTTTCGTTCAGAAATCAGACGGAAAGACAAAACGAAATGGTTCAGGTTTTATTACTAGATGATTTCTTATCCCTAAACCTATATAATCATCAACAAACATTAGTAAATGGACAAACAACTAATGCAACAAATTTTAATAACCTAATTTATATTGAAACATCAATGTTTCCAGATAAATCCGAAAGTATAAGCACTCAGGATACAATGTACCTGCATAGTTCCAAGTCTCATCAGGAGCCCCTTAACAGTGTTCCCCAAAGTGGTGAACCCTTGTTTATTCTATCTAATGTAAGATCACTTCTTTCTAAGATTGATGAGTTAGAAACTATTCTGAAAGCAAGCCGTATAAACATGGCCTTTATCACAGAAACGTGGCTGAGTGAAAACATCCACGACAGCGCTGTCGAAATTGATGGTTACTCCCTTCTCAGGCGTGACAGAGTTAACAAGATAGGAGGAGGCGTGTGCGCCTTTATTAAAGCATCTATTCCATTTAAATTATTACCCGAACTACAAGACGAATGTTTTGAAACCCTGTGGTTATATTTGAGACCGTATAAACTTCCTCGAGGCTTTTCATGCCTGATAGTATGTGTTATTTATCATCCACCATCCAACGATAATCATGCCCTACTCGAACACATTATCTTAAGCCTCGATTTAGCCCTTATGAAGTACCCAAATGCAGGAATTTTCCTGGTCGGTGACTTTAATAGATGTCCTGTTTCAGCGTTACTAAGACATTTCGGACTAAAGCAAATTGTCAAAAAACCTACGAGGAAAAATGTTGCCCTGGATCTAACTCTTACGAATATGTCTGCCTGTTGCAACCCTGCATTGGTAACCTCTCCTATTGGACTAAGCGACCATAGCTCTGTGTTATGTACACTTAAAAGAAATCTGATAAAAAACGAGACCAATAAAGTGAAAATTCGACGTAATATATATGCCAACAAGACAGCGTTTGGAAAATGGTTAGCTGATTATAATTGGTCGACTTTGTATCGTACTGTCTCGTGTAAAGACAAGCTAGATATTTTCACGAAAGTTATCAACAGTGGTTTAGATTGTTTCTTTCCGATTAAAATTATCAAACTACATGCTAATGATAAACCCTGGGTAACGCCCGAATTCAAAGAAATCATTAAAGATAGGCAAAAAGCATATCATGACAGGAATATCCAAAAGTACAATTATTTGCGTAACCTAGCCAATAGAAAAAGGAAACAACTGAGGTCCAGCTATCTTGATAAAAAAATGGACCAGCTTAAATCTAATCCTAACCCGCAAAAGTGGTGGGATTGTTTAAAACAATTCGCAGGGTATCCGAAGAGAAAGGCAATATCGTCTACGGTCCTTGACAATGAGATTGTTGTTGGAAATGTTTTAGCAAATAAAATTAACGACTTCTTCATATCAATTACTAATGAAATTACACCTTTACAGCCAGAATCTACAGAAAGTCAGTTCGAGTTTAATGAAAGTAACATTCATCCCCAATTTATTATTGACGAAGAAAGTGTGTATAATAAATTGTCTGATATATGTGTCTCGAAATCGTCAGGTTCAGACGGCATCCCAAATTGGGTACTTAAACATTATGCTTATATCTTAGCCTTACCAATTGCCTCACTTTTTAATGCTTCGATACAGCAACAGCACGTTCCTGCAGTATGGAAAGACGCTGAAGTTATTCCAATACCAAAAATATCGGTACCTGCAGACATAACAACCGATTTGCGTCCTATTTCATTGACACCTACTTTGTCCAAAATCTGCGAATCGTTTGTATCTGATTGGTTGATTAGTTCAATCAAGAACAAAATTGATAAGAGGCAATTTGGCTCTTTGAAGAATTCCTCAACGACTCATAATTTAATTAGTTTGGTACATCACTTATTAAAGGAAACTGATGCGTCAAAGTGCGCCGTTAGAGTGTTTCTTCTTGACTTTTCTAAGGCTTTCGACCTGATAGACCACAACATTTTGTTGCATAAATTATTGGAATTGAACGTTCCCCCAACTATTTTTAATTGGATTAAAAGTTTTTTAACTGGACGGAGGCAATGTGTGAAGCTGGGTAGTTGGTCTTCGAGTTGGAAAGTTTTAAACGGAGGAGTACCGCAGGGAACTGTTTTGGGTCCTGTTCTTTTTTTGGTTATGATCAACGATCTCCTCGATGAATGGCCCGACCGATGGAAGTATGTAGATGATAGTACGGCTACTGAAAGTGTCATGGTTGATTGTAGCAGTAATCTTCAGGATCTCGTCGACTATATTTATAATTGGACGGTTACAAATAATATGAAACTTAATGTCACTAAATGTAAAGAAATGATCCTTGACTTTGGTAGGGTAAAACGGAATTTCCCAGCATTATTAATCGAGAACACTGAGGTTGAACGTGTAAATTCTGCCCAAATTCTCGGCGTTACGATCCAAACCAAAATGAATTGGAATGAACACGTTAATAAAATTGTTAAGAAATCTGGGAAAAGATTGTATATGCTCAGGTTATTGAAACGAGCCAACGCTGACACTAGAATGTTATCCATCGCATTTACCACTATTATAAGGCCAGTCTTAGAATACGCTTGCCAAGTTTGGCACTTCAACATTCCAGGTTATTTGAGTGATGATATTGAAAGGGTTCAAAGAAGAGCTTTGAAAATTATTTTACCAGAACTTAGCTATAACGATGCACGCGAACTTATTAATATTCCATCCTTGAAGGAACGACGTGAGATTTTATGCGAACAGTTCTTTTTGAGAGATGAGAACCTTCAAAAATTGGATGAATTTTTACCTAATAAATCCTCTTCGGTCTATGATACGAGGGGAAATTGTAAATATAATAATTATTATTGTAAAACAGAACGTTTTAGAAAATCCTTCTTACCACAAATTATTTCGAAATTAAATTGTAAATAGTAGTTTACTCCTTTATATTTAATTATTTGTAGTATAGCTGATGTAATTTAACCTTCGGTTACAAAATCAGTAAATATATTTAATAATAATAATAATAATAATAATAATAATAATAATTTGGTGAAAATTTGATGAAAATCGGACTGATTTTGAGCGCGCAGTAGCGATTTTCCACAAAACGCCAAAAAGGGTGTCCTGTAACCTTAAGTTCAGAATGTCTTCATGGCAGAGGTGAACAAGCTGGAAAATCCATGCAAGAACGTCCAAGAGGTCTGTCAACACGCATACGCGAAGAAGGATTTATTGATGATTGACTGATTCCCGTCTGTTAACAAGACTTGCAAACTGCTATTCTCAACTCCTGTAAGTGTAGGAAAAGACGAACGCGCATTTAGCAAGATGAAAATAGTTAAGAGATTTTTTGAGATCCACAATGAGCGACAAACGACTAGACGATTTGATCATTCTTCTAGCAGAAAAAGATTTCTTGCAGCACAAAAGGACTCCATTGACTTGGATGGGGCACTCAAAACCTGGTCTAGCAAAAATAACAGGAAACTTAGAATCAAACACTTAATGGCCGTTTTTATACTAGAGACGCATTATGCGTCTGGACGAACTTGGGCAAGCATTTGTTGTTCGTCTGGTTATGCGTCCTTAGTATAAAGACGGGCACAAGACGCATTATGCGTCTAGACGAACTATGTTCGATTTTTCGTCTTAAGAGACGCACAACCGATGATAGTTCGTCTAGACGCATAATGCGTCTTGTGCCCGTCTTTATACTAAGGACGCATATAACCAGACGAACAACAAATGTTGATAGTTCGTCGGATTATTCGTCCCGTCTTTATACTAGACGAATAATATAGAAGACGGATTATGCGTCCAGACGCATAATGCGTCTCTAGTATAAAAACGGCCAATGTGTAATTAAAGGTTGCATTGAGACACTCAGACACACCACGTAACTCACCTACCAAATTAAATAATAAACGATCTGATTTATCTGCTTTTGTTTTATGTCAGTATAATTTAGAGTGGATCGATATCGCAAATACCGAATACCGATATAGCGCCTGTTATATCTTAGGTTTTACTAGTTTTATAGCTCAAATTCGCTTGCAAAATATGTGTTTACTATCCCGCTCTGGCTCTCTCAACTAATGCCTCCCACGAGGCTTACCGGAAGTGACGTAACACTACATCACATCATTCCCTTTTTCTAACAGAACAAAGGAATGTCAAATGTTTCAAACTGTCAATGCAAATGTCAGAATAAATTACTCCATGAAATTATTGTTTGAATGTTTTTTTTTACAGTCTCAACCCCGAGTTTATTGGGTGTCCATAAAAGTTTGTCTGCCGTGTGTTTCGTGTAGATCTTCTAGGCTCTTGTTGTTCTTGTTGATATTGTAACATCCTCATCATGATAACATCCTCATCATCCTCTTCTCGACTAACTGCCTGTTCCGCTATCTTCTTGAAGAACGATACATTTCGCGTGATGAAGTGTTGTTGGTTTCTCGCGACTACTTTTGACCCTTTTATGCCGGCGACGATAGTATATATGGCGTAGGTCTAGCACGGGCAATAGGACAGTATTATAATAGGACGGGCAATAGGACATGTATTATAATTATGTTTAAAAGATCAGAATATTCATAACTTCTTATTTTGTTTCATAAATAGTTCTTTAATATTCGAAACAAATTCCATATCTGCTTCGTCTGCCATCGCCATGTTTACTCGTCCCAATCTACATGCTGCACGGCATTGCCGCCCCTCCTGGCAAAATAATAAGCAAGCGAGAAAAATTAAGGAGAAAATGAGAGGGTAGGAACATCGTTGTCATAAGCTGGATGCAGTGACACTTCCATATATGGCACAAACGTATCCATAACTTCCATATATGGCACAAACGTATCCTCGACGCGTTTTATAACGTTTTATTTGACTAAGGATGACGTAATGATGCTTCCCGCCTATGGCAATTTGAATTAGTCATGTGATACAAGATTGCGAAAGCCGATTCGCCCAGAACGATGACAAGCCCACGAAACGCCCACAATGTTCCTACCCTCTTATTTTCTTCTAATTTTTCTCGCTTGCTTATTATTTTGCCAGGAGGGGCGGCAATGCCGTGCAGCATGTAGATTGGGACGAGTAAACATGGCGATGGCAGACGAAACAGATATGGAATTTGTTTCGAATATTAAAGAACTATTTATGAAACAAAATAAGAAGTTATGAATATTCTGATCTTTTAAAGTTTAAACATAATTATAATACATGAGTAAGTACAATACCATTTCTAACTTTCCATTTAACAACACTACACCTGTCCTATTGCCCGTGGGTCTAGGACTGAAATTGGTTGAAAATTTATTCGTTTTCTTTTGCCTCACCAGAACACGATCTCCAACTGGTAGTTTACTTGTTCGTGTATGCCGTCGAGAGTCTGCATATCGTTTTCCCCTTTGCTTTTGTTCTTTGTCATTTTGCTTGGCTTCTCTATGTTGGTTAATGACTTTGCTGTTGTGGGGAAGTGTGGACAACTTCCCGCGAATTTCTCGGTTATATAGCAACTGAGCAGGTGGTACCTTTGTGGTCGAATAGGGGGGGGGGGCGGGAGGTAGACCGATACGCCAACAAGAACTTGGAGAGCTCTTGTTTCCAAGGCCGTCCTTCGAGGTCCGCCGTTCGAGTAGCCTTGCCGAGCGGCTTCATGAACGTACGCTTCAACTTCCGCATTCCCCTGAGGCAAAAGGGGTGTGGAGGTATTATGCTGGATTCTCATTTTGGTCATGTATCTGTTGAATTCATGTCCTTGGAAAGGTGGCCCATTGTCTGAAACAACCTGCGAAGGGACACCATGCCGGGCAAAAACTACATCGAGTTTCGGGATTACAGTCTTGGCAGAGATCGAAGACAACACTTCTACTTCCGGAAATCGAGAATAGCAATCGAGGATCACCAAAATATACTGTCCAGTCGGCAATGGGCCATAGAAATCAATATCTTGAGTTTGTCCCATGCTTTGTTAGGTAGCGGGGTGGACCGAAGGGGTTCTGGTTGACTTGGTTGCCCAGTGGCTTGACAAGCGAGGCACTTTTCAAGTTCTGCACGAACTCTTTTGTCCATTTCTGGGAACCAAACGTGTTCCCGTATCAACGCCTTTGTTCTGGCCTGCCCTTGGTACCCTTCATGGGCCAGCTGTATGACACGTTGAACCAATGATGAAGGGATTACAAGTCTGGTGCCCTGAAGCACCACATTGTTGGTGTAGTCAATAGATAGTTCATCTTTGATGGGCTTTAACTGTTTCAGTTAACTATTGTACCACTGTCCCGTCTGGATTGCTATACGTACCAAACTAAGTAATGTATCCTTGCTGGTTGCTTTGCGAACATCGTCCACTGTAAGTGCGGGGAGGCCTGCTGTGTGTGTTACGAAATGTACGTACTTGTCTGCAATGTTCGTTTGTTTTTGTTGACTATCAGGGGGATGGCGAGACAGATAGTCTGCCGGATTTGTACTGCCTGATTTATAAACAACCCGAAATTTATATTGCTGGAGGCGTAGGAACCAACGCTCTATTCGGGGCTGTTGTTTTGAAATTGGGTTCCCAAAGATGACTTTGAGGGCTTTGTGGTCGGTATACAGAGTGAAGGTTGCACCATACAGATACAAATGGAAATACTCAATACCCCATACCACGGCCAGCGCCTCCTTTTCAGTTTGCGAATAGCGTCACTCGGTAGAGGTAAGAGCACGACTAGCATAAGCGACTATGTTTGGGGGTGATGAAGGTGAATCACGCTGAGCTAAGTTCGCGCGGTCACTTCAGTGGCTTTGTTGACATCGAAGTAACTCATCACAGGACTGTTAATTAAAGCCTTTCGCAGTGTATTATACGCATGGTCCTGTTCCTGAGTCCATATAAAAGGTGTTCCTTTGTGGGTGAGTTGCCGTAATGGTTCCGTGATTGTGGCAAAGTTGGGGATAAATTGTGAGCTGTAATTAGCCATGCCGAGGAGGCTTCTGACCTCGCTCACCGTGGTGGGCATAGCAGCAGTAGCCAAGGCAGAAACCTTCTTAGGATCTGTTAAAGAAAAGTTAAGTAAAAAAAATTCAAGCTTAGGTTGCAAAAACTGACATTTGTCAAAGTTGAGGGTCAAACCATGGGTGTCAATGCGATGTAGACACTCATCCAAGGCTTTGTTATGTGCTTCGTAAGACGATCCAAAAACTAAAATGTGATCAGCAATGTTGCGGAATCCTGGGATGTCATGCAAAACTTGTTGCAGTGCATGTTGAAACATTTCTGCGGCCGAATTTGTGCCGTAGTTTAAACGCTTAAAACGAAACAATCCTGCGTGTGTGATGAATGTTGTGATTTGACGGCTTTCAGGGGCTAACTCAAGTTGGTGATATGCCTGTGTAAGGTCTAATTTTGTGAAGAATTTGGCACCATTTAATTCATGCGAAATGTCATGCACCGTTGGTATGGGGTGTCGAATTCGTTTAATAGCGGTGTTTGCCGCGCGCATGTCAATACATAGACGAATATTGTCGTCTTTTTTTGGCACGATGACGATTGGAGATATCCATTCGGTTGCTTCTGTATCTGGTACGCGTTCAATGATGTCCTCATCCCGTAACCGACTTAACTCCGCATCGACTTTAGCTCTCAGGTGGAATGGAATGCGACGTTGACGCTGAGTAACTGGTTTTACATCTTTGTCAACAAGCAGTTCGACTGTTTGATGTCGTAATTTCCCGAGGCCACAAAAAAACATTTGGATACTTCTGGACAACACGTTGTACTCCATTATCTTTAATTGATGTAAACGTTGGTGGTGTTTGGGATGATTTTGTTACTTGTACCGCATTCAAATGCAAGCTGATTAGTCCTAGCTCTTCTGCAGTTGACCCACTCAAAAGACAACCACCGTTTGCTTTTGTAACATAAATGGTTGTCACCGTAATCTTGCGCCGTGATTCCACAATGGTGGTAAATTTCCCATTCATTTTAACAGAGACGTTTGAATTAAATGCATAAGCTTTGATGTTTGTTTTGGACAATGTATAATGTCCCAATTGCTCAAAGGTTTGTTGATCTATTATGTTTATACTGGATCCAGTGTCAACCGTAAACTTTACGTTGCGATTGTTAATCTTCAACTTTGTGTAGGGATTTTGCGCCTTTGTATTGTTAACTGAATAACAATAATTGTCTGAGTCGCTTGATTCATTGTCATTGTCCGAGACATTAAGTGGACGAATAGGTTTGTTTTCATGACGTCCTTGCCATCGTCCACGGTCTTGCCGCTGACCTCGCGCCACCGCAGGCGCAGATCGACACACTCTCGCAAAATGGTTCAGTTTGGAACATTTTCGGCATTCTTTGCCCTTTGCTGGACATATTCCCGTGTTGTGTGGCCATTCAGCACCACAATTCCTGCAAACCCCTTTTTGCGATGTCTTTCCAGCAGGGGTATTGCAAACAGCATCCACAACAGCGCCATCGTTCATACCGGTTTGATTGTTTCTTGTATTTTCCTCGATCTCTGCAGCTTGTTGACGACTTCGTTCACATTGGCGGCCCAAAACCAGTAGGTCTTTCAATGTCAACTTGGGATCACGTAAGGCTTGCTTTCGGAGTCGACTGGAGCGACCACATAAGACAATTTGAACCATTATTTCAAAATCTGGATCAGCAAACTCGCATCGGGTAGATAAACTCCGCAACCGCGTATAATATTGGTCTAAAGTTTCGCTGACGTCTTGTCGTGCCTCGCGAAATTTGTACACCTCGTACAATCGATGTTTTTGTGGTTCAAAGTATTCGATTAGTTTCTCAACCGCCTTGTCGTAGTCTTTGTCATCTCCATTATCAGGGATTTGCCGAAAAATTTCGCGAACTCGGGCGCCTGCCTGGTATAAAAGCAGCGTTCGCTTCTTGGCTTTGTCTGTAATGCCGTTCGCGGTAATGTACATCGCAAAGTCTTCCATCCAGATTTTCCACCATTGGGGCCAATATTTGCTCCAATGGCAATGTCCGAGTCAGGATCAAATGGAGGCATCGGATTTACTATAGGCGCCATCCTCGTCGCCAATGTTATGTCTTAGGTTTTACTAGTTTTATAGCTCAAATTCGCTTGCAAAATATGTGTTTACTTTCCCGCTCTGGCACTCTCAACTAATGCCTCCCACGAGGCTTACCGGAAGTGACGCAACACTACTCCGCCATCAGAATATCGGTAAATACCGGTATTTTTAACTTCATCATTCAGCAGTCAGTTAAATAAGATTAAAAACAAAAAGTTACCTTCTTATACTGCCCGATAAATATTTCCAAAAAAACTTGAAAGAGGGTCTTAATGGGGGTCTTTGGGTGTCAGTTGTCAGCTAAAATTTAAACCAGTTGTCAGTGCGATATATTGCAAGCTGTCAGTTGTCAGTTACTGCAAAATGCCGACTTATAATTTTTTTCATCATTTCTCAGTAGTCAGTTAGGATATTTTGTCAGTTGTCAGTCAAAAATTCAGGCAAATGTGAGTAGTCAGTCAGAGGTTGACTAATGTGCGAGCCTTCGAGCCGAAGCCTTTCATTTGCGAGTCGGAGCCTTTCATTTGCGAGCCGCAATCCTCTCATTTGCGAGCCTTTATTTATACCTTTACAAGCCCGTCTAATCTCTATATTTGAGATTGGAATTATTTTCATTTTATATTCAGAGTACATCCTATCAAGCGGTATCATTATTTAGTAAAAATGAATGCGTTTTAAATTAATCATGTCTCGCAACATGCATTTGACTTGAGGTTTCTGGAACTAAACTAATTTCAGAAATAACACAGGGCCGTAGGAAGCTCTTTTCGATTGGGGGGGCTGAAAGCGAGGGCCGAAGGCCCTAGGAAATTTTTAAATTTAGAGTCTCTAAAATGCCATTTCCTGGACTTTGGGGGAAGATTTAACAGAATTCTGATAGTCAGAAAACAGCGTTTTAGTATGTCGAAATTTACAGGAAAGTATGGGCCAGACTGTAGTATTATAAATGCGCGGCGGGAATTTTCGTCGTAAATGGCAGTTGCATGCGCGGAAATGAAGGCAGAACATTTGAGAAAATTTCGAAAATCTGGAGTCTCTAGATGGTCTGAAATGGCATTTTCAGAGTTTTCTTTCGCAAGACCCAACACGCAAAAGACAAAATAAATCATTAGTTCATCAAAAATGTGCAGATTTTGTGGGATTTTCTTGAAAATGCGCGACAGAAATTCAGCTAAAATTTCTACGCGAGGAACGATCTGGAGTATGAGAAATATCTTCATTCTTTGCAGTTTGTCACAGATTAAATGATAAAGTTTGCATGATTTTGAAAAAAGAATGATTATTAGCAAATTATTGGGGGGGCTGCAGCCCCCCCGGTTGCTACGGCCCTGTAACAAATTGTTTTTTCTCAGAAATTTACGAACCTGCCATCATATTTAAGACTATCGTGTTTCACCCTGGCTCTATAGCAAAACAATCCATGCTATAGTATATATATGCTATATATATGCTATATTTCCAGCGAAGTAAATATGGCTATCCGGAAGAAACGCTTAGAAACCTAGTTTATATAAATGCACGTTTCATGGAAGCTCGAAAATGGTGGTATCAGCGCCCAAATTTGTAGATTTGTTGAAATTTAGCAATAAAAGCTTTATAAGTTATAAATTAAATAGTATTTAAGAAATATTCATAATTAAAGAAATGTACATTATTTATACGTAAACATATCAATCAAGAGAAATATAGTATATTTCACTTGAGCACAGCCAATGCAGATTACGCGTGCATCCAGTGACTATACATGCATGATGATATCATTTTTATTCTCACTGGAAAGAAAATCTAGCTCAGTGGTACTGTTTTCAATTCCATTATCATAACTTATTATAAGATTAAGAGTGAGAGAAGTGTACAACCTGCACACTCCACATGCAGGCACGTAGGTTCAACAGTATTTTACAAATACCTATACAAATAAAGAACAAACAATTAAATTAAGTGATGCACTACAATGACCAATGTGCATGCCATTTAAATTTCCTTGATTCCCGAACTAAACAAGTAAACTTTTTACTTTGTTTTAAAGATTATCATTGTGTTTTTTTAAGTCAATCATGCGACATCGTATTCATGTGACTTGTTGTAACCATGACATGAACTTAAACCACGCTATTAGGCCGAGGGAATTAAAGTCATAGAACACCGTCCTTCGCCCGCATGTCCAAAATGCTGCCGCAAAAAAATCATTATTTCAAAATATTTCGTTATTTCAACAATTATCTACAGTTTAAACTACAATTCATCGCAGAAGTCATGTATTAAGGGCAAAGTCTACTTGTACAGCAAAGCTTTCGCTTCGCAGGCAGCCAGGCATTCGCTCGGCCTAGTTTTAAAGTTTGCTGGCATATTTAAATACTGAACAGGTTTATTGACGTTCGACCAATATATATTCACACATTTCTAAAAATAATAAATAATGAAAAAAGCCTCATCTATTTTTGAAATTATAAGGACGGTATTCATGACTTTAATTCCCTCGGCCTTACATAAAATATAGACAAATGAGCAAAGCTGTTTCAAAAAATATTGATATTCGAAAATATATATAGCATACCAACCTCTATAAAAATAGCGGAGGTTCCTTTGTAATACATGGATTATATAACTAACCTTCGTGCCGTGTAGACTTAGGCAGCTTTTACACTGTACCGTTTTCGTAGCGTTCTCGTATTGTTCGAGAGAACTAGACTATTGTCTTGCGTTCCCTTGAGGATTAAGAACAATACGAGAACGCTACGAAAACGGTACAGTGTAAACGCTGCCTCAGTTCCGACAACTCTTCAGCTGTATATGTAATATAAAATCAAGCGTTTAAAAATAAAATATTTCTTTCACATCGATAGACAAATAAAAAAGAAAACATTAAAATATTAATTGTTTTTTACCTTGTTTAATATCTTCATCAATAAAATCATCCATGGCTGAGATCGCTCGCAAATGAAAGGCTCGCAGATGAAAGGTCGCAGCTCGCAAATTAAGGCTCGGGCTCGCAAATTAAGGCTCGGGCTCGCACTTTAGTAGACTTGCTCCAAGTCTCTCTTTGTGGAGACCCACTATATTGTACGTTACATGACGTACCGCTGAGGGGGAGAGGAGGAAAGAGAAGAGAGACTTGTAACCACAGAATAAGGACCTATACAGAAGTCCCACTCTCGTGGTGAAGGCTATTTCATCCTCGTCCCCAGGCCCAAGCTCGGGCGGCCCTCACAGTGGCCCTGGGTCAGGCTGTTGAGCTTGTTGATTGTGATTGGTTCTTTTGCCCTAAAGGAATGTTGCGGGTGGGAAGGAAATGCGGGTTAACAATAAACATTAAACAATGGCTGGCGCGAAGAGTGATAAATACAATAAAAACGAAACTGGTATTAAATTATGATAGAAAGCAGATACTTACATGTAAATGTTTGCTTAAAAACTATGTATGTACAAATTCAAGACTGCTGGAAACCGACTACATGGATATTTGAAGGATTAAATACATTTGATTCAAATATTGGTATATATAGATATTTTACAGTTCAAGACTCGGACATCAAAGATACGGTGTCATCAGCCACACTTCACGAATAAAGAAATTATCTTTTGTGTACGCAAGTAACGGCTGTAACGCAACGTCTACAAAATTATTGTGTGAATGTTAAACTGTAGCTAAACATTTTCGAGTTAATGGCAGCATTTTGTTTTGCTTGCACATGAAATGCACATTTCACCAGTGTTGTTTGACAACCACAAGCTCTATTGTTTAAGGCCCAAGGTGAAAAGCTGGCTTTTACTGTATTTATCTATAAACGAACACTGTCACTGAAAAATTTTATTAATAAATATCTCTCCTGGAAAGTACATCACTTTGGTGCATTCTGCATGTTCAGGTTTTGCAGTATGACATATTAGATCAAAAATAATCTTCCATTTTGGGTGATAAAAACCCTTTTAGTGAACCAATTTATACTACACAGTTATGGACCATATTATAACTTTTCTAAGTGCTGAAACAAAAGCAACAGCCCCAGAAAGTACCACAGCTTGCTTTGATGCCATCTTGGCTTTTTAATTAACTATTTTGAATTTTCCACCCAAAATGGCAGAAGTCAACAAATGTGTGTTGTGAAGTTACTTGCAATTTTTTTAAGCCTGTCTCGATTATGGAAAGGAGGCTCTATAGCCAAAGTGACATACTTTTCTGTAAAAAGCATGTATTAATGTAGGATGTTGTTTCACTATCAAGTATCAACATGTACATTATAGAGTGTTGTTGTTGTGTCAATACATAATTCAAATTTCTATTAAAAGATATGATAGTCATATTTGTACCTTGTGATTCAAATAAATATTGACATCCTTGGATTATTTTCACCAGTCTTATTATCCCACATCAAACTATATATTTAGGTTCTTGATCAACATTCTTATATCACAAGAATATTTATGAACATCAACCATTATTAACCCATTAAGCAGCAATGCACCCAACTTTATTGTTTTACTTTGTCGAACACTAGACAATTTTACTCATTTGTTCATACTTCCTTTCTTTTTGTTACTTCTTTCCTCCCTCACTTGAACTTCTTTTCTCCCTTGCTCTCCTTTCCCCTTATATTCCTTCCTTGTCACTATTTTATTCACCCCATCAAAATAATAGATATCATTAATTAATAGATATCTATTATTTCTATGATTCACCACATCCCCCTTTCTCATTCTTTCACCCCATCATTTCTTTCTAATGCATTTCTTTATTCACCATTAATCGGCAGGATATGTGCTATATTTTGTAACAAAAATTAAAAAGAGCATTTTTTTCCCTCAATAAATCATAAATGCATAAATATAACTTTGTCGTCTTAAAATGTCAAACATATACAGCTAAATATAGCATCTTCATTAATTAA